GATCGCTCCAGGAAATTCACATCAACTGTTGGAGACCGGCGCTGGGTGTTGGCTTCTGAGTTCAGGCCTTCTGGTCTTCAAGTCTCAAAACAACCTGGTAAGCTTCGCGTTCTCAGGGCCCAGAGCCATTGTCTTTCTAGTTCATGAAGGCTTAGAGCTTGCTCAGATCGGCCTAGAGCTACAGCTTTCTGCCTTTAAAAGCTTGGAGCCACAGTCTCCTTATTGTCAAAACTTAGAGCCACAAGCCCAGGCCATAAGCCACTTGCTTTCAAGCGCTCAGGACTGCAAGCACAAACCAGTCTTGCCCATGTGTAACGTTTATCTGAACAGACAAAAGAACTCCGCTGGGGCACATCTACGGTCCCTGAGAACAGAAGGAAGCTGTTCCTGTCCCACTCTGCTTTAGCTGTCATGGCTGCCTGGTTTTGTATCAACCCATAGTTCTATTTTTTACAGGTTGACTACTGTCAAGTTCCGATAAGATTCCACTTTTAGGCCCTTGCTGGGTATGACCTGGATGATTCCACAGGAAGCCCCAAGGTTGAGGTCCCAGTTGTCAGGGGCTCAGCTGAGCTTCCAGGGGTTGGGGTAACTAATGGAAGTGTCAAAGAACCAAGCTGTCAAGCCTCTGATGGCTTGCTGGGTGGTGGAACCAAGGGGCCAATCCCAGAGGACACAGCCATTTCTCTACTGTTTCCCCCGTAGAAGGTGAATGGAGGGTCAGGTGGGTCACCACATATGTGACTTCCTTCATTGTTGAGAGAGCCCAGAACAAAAGTTTTGGCAGTCTAGGGAGGTCCTGGAAAGGAAGGACATGGGGTCAGGGCCAGAACTGGAAAGGGGACAAATGTCTTCAAGGCTTTTCTCCTTCTCCCTGGGGACACCTCAACTGAGGTACACCTTGAAACCTCAGTCCAAGGTGTCAGAGAGGGATCCAGGCATGGAGCAATTGGCTAGGAACACAAAGGTGTGGAAGAGCATGACAGTCTAGGGCACCCAGTCCTTGACTTAAGTGCCCCTCAGAAACCTCAGGGCATTGGCTGGGCCTCGATCTGGGGTGGAAGTCAGTCTTCCTGCATGAGGCCTACCAGGCACACTTTGGAAAGTGCCTAGGCCTGGAAACTGCACAGGTTTTAACACAAACCAGCTCCTCACCACAGTGAGTCTTTTGGTGGGCAGTGGGGTTAGGCTTTTCCTGGGAACAGTAAATGAAGCTTCCGAGCTCCCTGGTGACAGAAACCCTTGCCAGACTGGAAAGCTCTGAGCCCTGCAGGCCTCTTCCAGCCCTAAATCCACAGAGGACCCAAGCAGTTGCTGAGCAAGCACTGGCCACCTCACTTGGACCTCCATGCTGAGAACTCTCCTCCACCTGGGCACCTGGTAGCCAGAGCTGGATTGGAACCCCTTCCCGAATTCCCAGCCCCCGCCAAGCAGAAGAGGGGAGTTCATGGTAGGAGACCCAGAGGGACGTTCTTCAAGCCCGTCCTCTCCAGCCTCAGGTTATTCCCTGCTGACCTTGCCACAACAGAAAGAGGTATCACACTGGGTAGAAGTACCCGAGACAGCTCAGGGTCTGAGGCTTCTCTATGGTCACTCCAGCCTGGGATTTCCCTGCCAGGGTGGAGTACTGCAAGCTAATCCTGGACAGCCTGCCTTTCCTGTCAGGGGAAACACACACACACACACACACACACACACACACACACACACACACACACACAAAAAAAAAAAAAAAAAAAAAAAAAAAAAAAAAAAAACAGGCTAGGTTTGACTTCCTGGCTGCCATGGGTTTAATGTCTTCTCTCTGACGTGTTCCCCCATTGTGATGTACTGAAAACTCAGAGCATCGAAAGAGAGCCTTTGGCCTTCCATTGGGGAGTTCTTTTCCCAGGGGTATTCCTGACAGCAGATCCCCATCTCTCCCAGCAAACTGCTCAGCATACAGCTACAGAGACTCCGCTGTGGTTAGTAAAATGTGCCCAACCTGGTGGCTGTGACAAAGGCAGAGAGTTCTCACATACAGGGCCTCCCATGAGTGCCCCCTAGAGGAATTTCAAGTGAGCAAGTTTGGCAATAAGATTTCTAGGGTGGAGAGCTGTGGCCCTCTGTCAACTCTACCCTCTGCGCTGGCATGAAAGGTAACACAGAATGTCCCCAAAAGCAAGCATCCTATCAGCAGCTGTTCATGGACAGAGTGTATGCTGGCCAGCCCGGGGAACCCGTTAGTGAGCCATTTCTGTCATAGACCTAGGACTGCCAGGAGCATCAAAGCCACTGGGAGCCTTGGTGGAGCCATGCATCTGCCCTTCCCTGTGCAAGCATGGGCTGGATATGGTACCTGTGGCCCCGTGTGTGTTTAGACCCGTGGCCACTGGAATGAGCTTGGTCCTAGCAGTGAGCTCTGTGCTGCAGCAAGCTTGCTTTTTCACAAGAGAAGGAACATCAAGACATTCCTTTGTCCTCTGTGGTGAGCTTTGTTCCAGTCCTTAAGATCTGAAAAGCTGTTGTCCTTAATGTTGAGGGATGAAGCCAATGAATAGCTGCAAACGTTTGTCTGCCTGATTCTGCAAAAACATGAACAGGTGTATAGGTGTATATGTTAGCCTGATTTTATTCATGCTGTGACAAGTGCCATGACCAAAGCAACTTGGGGGAGGAAAGGGCTTACTTCAGGTGACAGTCGATCATGGGGGACGTCAGGGCAGGAACTCAAACAGAAGTGTGAAGCATGAACAATGGAAAACCGCTGTGTGCTGGCTGGCTTGATCCTAGGCTTGTGCTTATCCAACTTTCTTATACAGTTAAAAGACCATCTGCCCAGGGCATGGTACTGCCCAGAGTGGGCTGGGCCCTCCCATATCAAGGAACAGTCAAGACAATTTGTTGTGGTTGCTCCTGCCTTTCAGAGGCAAAGGCAAAGAGATCTTTGTGAGTTGGAGGCCAGCCAGGTTGCACAGTGAGATCCTGTCGCTAGCACAGAAACAGTCAGGACAACCCCACCCTAGACAAGCCCACAGGTGAATCAGACCTGGACAGGTCCTCATTTGAGTGAGACCCCTTTCTCAGGGGACAACAGGCTGGTCAAGTTGCCAGTTAAAGCTGACTAGCACATGTGTGAAAGTATGGAGACATAGTAAACACATTTCACTTATATAAACTATGGTGGATGATTTTATATATATATACTTTAAGTGAGGTACTGTTTCCAAGGCTTTGACCTGCAAACCACAGGATACGCTTCATAATTTTACCAGCGACTTTCATTTAATAAGGTGACCTGCACACACAGTGGAAGCTTAGTCATTGCATACCTTTGTCATTTGTAGGGGAGACCTCTTTGGGCCACTAGCCACCTGCATTCATTTTCACTTTGAGTCAAGATTTGAAATTCATTCCATGTGAAGCAAGGGATGTGTGTCTGAAAGAGGCGGCAGGAGATGGGTGACAGCCCCTGTGATACACCCACAGCAAGGACTCCACTGGGCCCTTGTCTGACACCGTTCCCCAAACTAGGAGGTTGCCAACAGACATGTTGTCATGGACTATGAGCAAAGAATCAAGGGATTTCCTGTCAACTTTACATGTCTGGAGTGTCCTGTGTGGGTGGGGACAGTGGACGTGACCATTCCACTTAATGCGTTGTGCATGGAGTTATGGGGCATCTGGATGACGTGTTAATTTTCTCAAACATGAGATATTTGGGGAAACAGTTATGCAATGTGTGAAGAGATACTCACTCCTTTGAATTTCAAGGCCACATAGCATGGTGGATCCAGTGATCAGACAGAGGCCACCTGCCTTGTGTGGCTGTCCCATGTTTATAGTGAAACCCTCTCATGGGTTCACACGATTCCTTCCCAGTGCCATTTGGTACCAGTTACTACGGCATAGCTATTGCATGGGTGAAAAGAATTACAGGCACTTAATTAAACACCACTGCAAACCAAGGGTGTTCCATCTACCTGCTGTCCACCCCGTGGACTGTGTCGGTCACTCCCAGTCAGACTGTGGTTTTTCCTGACTTTCATTTTCCAATGAATGAAAGAAAATACCAAGTAAACCAGAACTTGCCAGTGTCTGAAAATCAGGCATCTGCCCCGTCATAGACTAAAAGCATAAGATTTGAACACACTGATCTCTGAGAAAAGAACGATAAGGCCAGAGGTCGGCAGGTGGTTTTGAGCCTGCTCCTGACCCACTCTGCTCATCCTGAGGACTGTCCCCTGCCCAGGGGTCCCTCTCCTGGCTGTCTGGCCTCCTGCTTCTGTATTTCTGTGCTTCTGGACTGGGAGATGAGAAATGACCAGTGTGTCACTGATGCTGCCCTTCTCTAAAAACAAAGGCCGACACTTCATCCATTGTATTTTTCCACTCAATTGTTTTGTGTTTTAACATACTGTATCACAATATAACTCACACTCATTTTATCACTCACTTCTATGACTTTGTTTTTGATACCCCCTTTAAATTTGCCCTGAATGAGCGGCTCACTCACCTCATCTCAACCCCACCAGCCTCAGAGTTATTCATTCTTTTGTCCATTCATTTATTCACTTCATACCCAGTCATGAGGTGTGAGCCATGGCTGGCACTGGGGGAGGGGAATGGAGGTGGACCCTGACTTGCCCTAGGACCAAGTTGGGGGCAGGTCACAGTGGACTCTAAGGCAGGAACGAGAAAGGGAAGCAGGCCCCCAGGGATCCAGAATGCTTCTGTTGCTTACTGAGGGTTGTGAACTTAGGTTTTTCCCTTGGAACCCTTCTGGTTTGTAGGAGCTTCTAGAAAAATACCACAAGGGGTCCCAAGGCTTGACAAGGCCACCTGTAGCTGATTTGCATAGGGCCACATGCTGAGCAGTGGTGCCCTTGGGGTCCACCCTAGTTCTGCCTGACTCTGGGCTCACACTCAGGGGGAAGGTGACTATTGCCCCCTGGTCCTCCAGAGGGGTCAGGGAAGGTGGCATGGAGGAGACCGTTCCTGGACTGAGACTAGAAGAGTATGTGAGAGCTGACCAGGAGGCAGTCGGGTGCAAGTGTCCTTGGCAGAAATAAACGCCGTGCGTGTTATCGGAGACTCATGTCCGCAATTCTGAGAAGCCGGCGAAGCTGCTTATGAAAGGGCATTGGTGCTTCCTCATTCTGCTCTCTGTTTCCTCCCGACGTGGCACAAATAAATAGGAAACGCCTAAGGCTCGCTGCTACTTGGAGGCTCCCGAAGGAGGCTGCCTGAACCCAATGCAGAGGTAAGGCTTCCTGCTGCAGAGCAGAGATGGGCTTAAAGGAGGAGTTGTGGGGTCGCCAGGACAGAGAGGGACAGGAGGAGAAGGAGCTGGGGTGGTATCTTGTTCCAGGGACCTGAGGAGGTAAGACTTGGCCCCTCTGGGAAGACTAGATCCCCAACCCCGAGGCAGTTTGTAGGGGAGGGGGCACCCAGGACTGTACCAGCTGGGGACACAGCCAGAGCTCTAGGAGGGTTAGGGTTAGGCCTGCTCTGGGGCTCTGTGAAGGTCAGTTTCGTCACTGGAGGTCTGGTGGCAGGGAAGACTCCCTTGGAAGCTCTACCTGGGGGTAAACACCCTGTTTCATCTTACTCTGCCACCCACAAATTAGGTCTGTCCTTGTCCTGGGCTTTCAGGCACCCTTCTGTGGGATAGGGAGAGTGGGAGACATAACCCCTCTGTTTCAAATTAGAAATGGAGGGAGGAGAAACAGAGAGAGAGAGAAAAACAGAGAGACAGATAGACAGACAGAGTTGCTGGATAACCTGGTTATCTCTGGGCCCTTCCCAAGTGAGCTTGACAAGTTACATCCAGTCCCATGGGAGGCTCTATGTCTCCTCCTCTATCTCCAGCACTTCTTTATCCCAGGTCCTGTAGGTAAGTTCTCTCTCTCTCTCTCTCTCTCTCTCTCTCTCTCTCTCTCTCTCTCTCTCTCTCTCTCTCTCTGTTTCTCATCACACTGTGCTCTGAATCACTATAGGTAATTTAGATTCAGGACCAGATGTTGTGTTCTGTACCTAAGGTGCTGGCTGGGAGATGTCTCATCACACAGCAGGGGACCTGTCCCTCCTGGACAATGACATATTCAGCACCTCTGCTGACTGGAGTCAGAGACAGCATAATCACTGTCACATCTCACAGCTCACAAACTAACCGGCTCATCGGTCCTGCAGGCTGTGTCCCACAGGTCGTACATTAACCATTGTTTGAGAGAAATCTCATGACCTATGAACCCAAGAATTTGCTTGAGGCTCAGGCCCCTGCCTCTGCTCAAACCCAGCACACAGTGCCTTTGAGCCTAATTTGGCAATGAGAAGGGACCTTCACCTACTTCTCTGTGGTGCAGTGCCTCTCCTCTCCCTACCTCTTTTCAAAGGGCTTTTGAAGAAGACTCCTCCTCTGTCTGGATGGGCTGCAATGTCGTTTCAGACCCTACCATTTGGTCGGCTCTAACAAGTCTTCTGCTGGACCCTGACATTCGGTACTGGAACCCGAGGGGTGTCGGTGATGTTGCCCCGTGAGCTCCTCCATTGCTGCTGCCCTCTCTGCATCTGACCCCAGACCTCCGTCCTTCCCTGGTGAGTCCCTGGGGTCTCCTAGGACATTCTGTCTGTCTGTCTGTGCCAGGAATCTTAGTGCTCAGTCACGGGGCCCACGGGGCCTGGGTATGTTCCTTCACCCAAGCTTGCTGAGTACAGAGACACCTGTTCTCAGGCTCTGTCTACTGCTGGTGGCCTGGCTGCACTTCAGGAAGGTCTCACCGCTGCACTTCAGGAAACTGTCTCCTTGCGGCCTTTCCTCTAAATCAGTGTTTCTCAACCTGTGGGTCGCAACCTCTTTGGGTCGTAAGACACTTTCACAGGGGTCACCTAAGATCATTGGAAAACACAGATAACTATGTTACAATTCATAACAATAGCAAAATTACAGTTATGAAGTAGCAATGGAAATAATTTTACGGTCGGGGGTCACCACAGCATGAGGAACTGTATTAAAGGGTCACAGCATTAGGAAGGTTGAGAACCACTGCTCTAGACCCTCTTGACCGGATTTTGTGATGGTATCACTCAGTCTCATCTGCCTAAGGACTCACCTCTCAGCTGCTTTCTGCAAAACTTCTACACACTTCAGCGGCCCCGGGAGAAATTTATTAAAATTTATTAAACCTGAAATCCTGATTGCTTTGGCAACACTGACCACAGCACCAGTAGCCTGAACACAGCTCCTCTGATTTCCTAGGTTCCTTCACACTGTGCAAAGTAAGGGGCCCGGGACCCTTGAGCATTCTTCCTCCTCCGTAATGGACCCCTGTCACCCTAGGACCACATTCCCAATCATAGGAGGATCCCATCTGCTCTTAGGGACACAGCTCTCTTTCCTTTTCTGTGAGAATTTTCCCACTGTGTCTCTGTTCACAGCAACTGCTTTTCTTGAAACTCTCACAGTAAATATGACCTGATGAATTGTTTCATTCCCATGCCTTGAGTTTTTCCACCACGACAGAGGGTGAGTGCCTGGGTGTTGGCAGGTGTGTGTGTGTGTGTGTGTGTGTGTGTGTGTTTTCACACAGGGGACTGACTTGTAGCTTCACCAGACAGGTTCCTGGGCCTGGCTGTAGGGTTTTCCCTCCTTAGAGGCCATGCCAGAACATTTTTGCATATTCAGATTCTAACTTTATTAATTCATATCTCACTTCTTTGTAGTTTCATGGTGAGTAAACTTTGCACTCACCCCTGGTAACTCTCCCCCCAACCCATTCATCATTTTTAGTTTAATGTGCCAAGCTGTGCATGTCCCATTACTACAGGAGAGGGCATGGTTCATCAGTGTTTAGTGTCAAAGACACAGACACCATTTGATTAAGGGTTAGGATAATCTAGAGTCATGGATGCAGAAGACATGTTACTGCACTTGTGTGTCTACAAGTAGATGTTCAGAAGTGGCTGCTTTTAAATTATCCAATCCTATCTGGAGAAGGAAGATCAAATCCTCTGCTGAATTTGAAAAGTTCTGGCTTCAGCACATTCCACCTAATCTGAACTTATTTTTTTTGAGGATCTCAGAAACATGGGCTTATTAACCATGGCTTTGGGTTAGCAAACATTTATAAGCAAAACAAACACTGCTTACAGAAGTGTTGTGTGAACACACCACAAACAAGTAAACAAACAAAGAAAACCCCAGAGTGGCCATTTGGCATGCCATTTAAGTCGTTTCTAAGGAATGCATAGTGGAAAATGTCTGCAGCATTTAGACACAGAAGTGATATAGAGGACCAAACCCTTTTCAGATGAAGAAACCAACTCCAAAATGTGTTAGTGTTTGTCCAAAGTAACCAATACCGTCCCATTGGTATAAAACAATACAAACTAATCAGCAGAAAATACCAATAGTTCTAATGTGACTCTCAACGCCAATGTACCACTCTTGGCTCCCATTAGAATATAGTTATTATTTCCACACTAGTATTCTAAAAACCAAGTTTCCATATATAATATATTTATATTATGTAATTTGTATATATAAATTAAAATACAAGCAGGTGTTGAGCTGTTGCTCCCCGATGGGGTGCCAAGTTCACCTCTTTCCATAAGGGTTGATGGGATGCAGAGGACTCTTCCGGCTCGCCTCTTGGCCAGCACGACACTGGCTTCCACAGTCTTTCATTAGTGAGACCCATCCGCTCTCACTGCTGTGCCGGGCCCACTGTTCAGGATCCTCTGGCAGAGCCTCTGGGCTCTTCACCAGCATCTGGTCTCCTTTCATTTACAGTCCTCCCCTTGAGTAAAGCTTCCCACTCAGGGCCAGGTTTCCTTTCCTTTTGAGATTCAAGGGATGATTCACCTCACTCCAGACAGGCTGCCTTTCTCAGGTTCCCCAGTCTCTCCTACTCCAGAAACCCCTTCCCCGCTTTGCCACACACACACAAGGAACCTTTCCCACCACACTTTCTCAGGCTCTCTGCCCGCCCTGGCTTTCTCCTGTTTTTTTCCTTGTTTCTCCTGAAGACTGGAACAGTTCCTGTCTGCTTGCTCGCTGGTCTTGCAGCGTCTCTGGCTTGAGTCATATCCCAGAGGTGTATTTAAAATATTAGCAGTCGAGTGGGGGGAAGAGGAGGATCTGTTTTTGGTATGTAAAATGAATAGAAAATATCTTAATAATAAAAAAGAAAATAAATAAATAAATAAATAAATAAATAAATAAATAAATAAATAAATAAATAAAATATTAGCAGGTATTGTCATCCCACTGAAAAAGCTTCGGAAGGCGATACCCCCATCCCCTCCAAGTCTCAGTGCACAGGATGGAGTTCCCCTTTGTTCTGCTTCATGGTCTTCATCCACATGTTTGAGGGCCAACCCAGTTAGTCCATGTACCGTGTTTACTTACCTGTGATGAAAATACAGTTCCCTGGGTTACTGTTCTGTTTTTCCTTTGTCAGGGTTAGGACGTCTAGTGTCACATAAAATGTTTCCATCATCTGTCACTGTTTAGTTTGCTCTGTGTGTGTGATCAAGGATGCACGGGTGCATATGTGCATTCATGTGGAGGCCAGACGACACCCTTGGGTGTCCTTCCTTAGGTACAGTTCCCCTTCTTTTGGAGACAGAGTCTCTCGCTGGCCTTGAACTCAGGAGTAGACGAGGCCGGCCAGTCATCGAGTTCCTGGGATCTGCCTTTGTCTCTGTCCCTCCAAAGTGCTGGGACCAAAAGTGCATGCCACCTCACTTAGCTTCATGTTCATGTGGCTTCTGGGCCTTGACTCAGGTCCACATGCTTGCAAAGAAGACCCTTTACCCACCGACTCACCGCTCTAGCCTTGTCTTCTGGTTTGGGTTTTGTTTTGGTTTATGGTTTCTGGTTTCAACATTTTACTCAACCCCCAAGATTAAAGATGTGTTTTTAATGCCTTCATGTTTTAGTTTGGAGTTTCAGATCTTTAATCTTCTCTGGATTTGGAATGGAGTAGGTATGATGTAAAGAAACAATTTAACTTAAAAGCATGGTCCCCTCATTGACCACAAGTCACCAGTCACAAGTGTTCAGAACCTCTCCCTCTTGGTGGCTGGAGACAGCATTCCATTCCTGAGATCTGACACACTTGGTTATATTCCTTATCATTTTTATTTTTTGTCTTCTCTGCAGTTACTTCCTTTTCTTTGCAAATGCAGCATGCCTCTGCCTTCTGTTTCTTCTGATTCAGAATCAGCTCATCCAGGGCGTTAAAAATCCTTCTATATCCTTCATTTCTGTTGCACTGGGAGTCAGGATTGTTCTCAGCATAACTGGTCGCTGGAGACAGAGGTGGGACTTTCTCCCACGCCTGCCTTGGCCAGGAGGGGAGCCCTGCAAGTCCCCTCTGGCTCTGGCACTGCCCTGGGTTTCAGGCAGACACACTCAGGTCATCAGAACGGTTTGCAGGTTAACCATTTCCGTTGTCCTGTCAAGTAAACTGGTGCTATGGCCTCTCGCTGGTGATACACTGAGGAGACTTCTCAGCGACCCTCCTTCCCTGGTCAAACGCTCCTTGTGTGGCCACCATGTACGCTCCTTCAACAAATCAGTATCCAAAAGCCTTGTGGAATTGTTTTTATCTGGGATAAATTTCTGTTTGCTCCCGCTCCCCAAACATTCTATTTCTTCATAAACTCAGCAATTAGGACAAAGTAACACTTCTGTTTGCCCCCTTTTCTCCTCAGCCTTCCTCTCTCTACACTTACCCTTCATCCTCAGTGACTTTCAACCCTTACTTGTTCTGTTTAATACAGATTCTCGCAGTGTTGCCCAGGCTAGCCCCAACTCCTAGTCTGAAATAACCCCGCCTCACCCTTCCTAGTAGCTGGGACTGAATGCACACCAAGGCCCTGACTCAATCCTTACATGTGAACCACCCCTCCTAATTATGAATATAATTCTACGCCAGCACTTGGGCTTAATTAGCATGTTGTGTTCTCCTAAAGCTGGTTTTCAGTTCTCCTCCACCTCAGCCTCAAAGCTCCCCCCAGCCTTCCTCATCTAATCTTTGGCCCCGCCCCCCGCCTTAGTCTTCTGAGCATTGGCCCCGCCCTCCAGCCTTAGTCATCTGAGCTTTGGCCCCGCCCTCCAGCCTTAGTCATCTGCGCTTTGGCCCCGCCCTCCCCACAGCTGTGTGTTCTCACTGGTGCTTCACACACTGGCTTTTCTCCCCACTGAACTAGTGTGTCTTTCCGATATGGCATGCTGGCTTGCTTGGAATCTGTCTTTCCTGAAAACAAACAGCTAAAATAACGTTTTTCAGGAAATATCTGAAGATTCTTCCAGTCTCCGTGTAACCAAACACTTTGGTTGACCCTTGAACAGCAAGTAGAACTTGGTCTTTTTAATTTGTTTTTATTGTTGTTTATGTGGCACAGGGCACACATGGACCTCAGCAAGTGTGGAGGTCAGAGGATAATTTTCTGGGCTCAGATCTCTCCACTATGGAACCTGGGACTTGAACTCACATTGTCAGGCTTTTGCAAATACTTTTACCTGCTACATCTCCCTGTCTCCTCAGTGTGTGGTTAGAAACCAGGGTCCCTCCTGAGAAACTGTGTGCCAATATGACCTTTGTCCTGCTGGAAGCAGCCTGCTGTTCGTTTCCTTCTGGAAGCTTCTCTAGGATTACCCTTCTATTCTTGAAAGACTGAATGTTCACATTAGTGCACAAGTGAATGTCATGTTACCATGGGGGACCTTGGAGGTTTGAACTCGGTCTCTGTCCCTTATCCAGCAGCCCCCTCCTTGAATCAAGTTTCTCCCTCTTGTTTCTAGGTTAGCAGACAGCCATCTCCTTCAAATCCAGAGGGCATTTCCCGGTACATTTTGCTTGCATATAGAAACTCTTACAAATGGTGCATAACTCCACAAGTGTTTAATTTTCCCCTCACATAAAAAGACACCAGAAGCAGATCATGGGCTGTGGTAGTCACTCCAGAGTGACAAGAGGAAGCCTGATTCTCTTCCTATTGCACGTTCCTTGCATGTGGCTTCCAACCTGACCTCATGATCCAAAATTGCTGCTGGAGTTCCAACCATCCCTTCTGAGATATAGGTTAGAGAACGAAAGAAAAGAAGAAAGGGGAAAAAATCAGACCCCTTCCCTCGCAAGTCTATGTCCTTTGGCTGGTCTTTGGGAAAGATACATCTAGGGCTCCACTCACATCTCCCTGGACAGCATTTAGTTTTGAGACCATGCCTAGTGTCGGCAGAGAGTGAGGATCTTACCTTTTATTCTGTGCAAATTGAGACAAGAAGGCAAGGGACAGCTGGCACATGGGCACATGTGTCCCTGATCCTCTGCCTCTGCTTGGTTTCTTTCTCAGAGCTTCCATGGTGTTGTGGACAGTGTCCCCTGCCTTGTCCATGTCCTCACCTTCTCACATCCTCTCAGCCAGGTGCTTGTCTGTGGGGTCCCTTCTGTGACTGACCCATCAGTGCATGATTTTCCAAACTCCTGGGTCTCTGCCTTCAGACATCTTGTTTTGACAACAGCAGTCTGTGTTTAAATGGCTCTTGGCTCTGCAGTCACCAAGGATGCAGGCTCAGAACTTCAACTTTTCCTGTCCTTGGGCTCTGTCTGGTAATAAAAGTATGTCAGAGCAGTCTATGTTGGAGCAGACACAGGACACGTCCACCACCACTAATCAGGAAATATGACCTCTCAGGGAAGCACAGTAGAGTGGGAGAGTCCTAAGCTAAGCCTGGGCTCAGTTCCAGCCTGTCTCTCACAGCTGTGACATCATGGGCCTGTCACTCAACATCCCTATACTGTTTCCTGTCTGTCAGGACTGTAACAGCTGCCTTCATCACGATGTGTTAATTTTTGCACAGCTCTCTGCCCACTCCCTGGCTGATGGTGGGCATTGAACCTTAGTTGGGTGCTAATGTAAATTATCTGTACATATTTAAGTACTAATGTGAATTCTCTGTGCGTATTTAAATACTAACGTGAATTCTCTGTGCTTATTTACATACTCTTCTCCTATTCGCCGATGACACAACTCTGTTGTCGTTGCAGTCGATGATGGAATTGGTTCTCCATGATTTAAAGTGCTAGGGACTGAGTACCCATGTCCCCTAAAGTCTTACATTAAAACCAAATCCCCAATGAGTGGATGGAGATTGGGCCTTAGGGAGTGTGATGGGGTCTCAGGATCAGAGCCCTTTAAGGGGATCAGTGCCCTTATATTAGACATCCCAAGGAGCCCCCTTGATGCTTCCACATGGTAGTAGCAGTGAGAAGCCCATGAGGAAGAGGCCTCATCAGACCTCAAACCTGCGTGTGCCTTGCCCTTGGCCTCGCCACTTTCCAGAACTTCAGGAAATAAATGTCTGTGGTTTTTATGAACTGCCCCACCAGTGGTGTTCTGTGACAGCAATCCCCCCAGATTAAGACATTGGGGTATCTTTGTAGGGTTGTTTTTTTGTTTTTTGTTTTTTGTTTTTTGCCGTGTTGTCCTTTTCTCGGTGACTCTGCTGACTTTATAAGACGCAGGGGGTTGGGCTTCCAAACACTTCCATCACTCTTTGTCTCAGAATCCTTTGATTCCTTTAAGCTTAGACAGCTCAAGGGTGCAGGCGTCAACGGTTTGATGTGACTGCATCCTTAGTCTGTAACTTCTTAATTAGCCTCATGATTGGGGAGTGGTGTGGGATAGAGGGTTGGGATTTGTGTGTGTGCCGTTATTATGTGTCAGTCATCTTACCATTTTCACATGGAATAGTCCATCATTTTACATTGTTTACTGATTCTTCTTCCATTTATGTAGAGTATTCTGGGGTAAAATAACACGTGTTCCAGTCAAGGTGTCCACTGACTAGACAGATAGATGATTGCTAGGTAAGAGAGGGGTGAGATAGATAAGATAATGCAAGATAATTGATAGATAGATAGGTAGATAGATAGATAGATAGATAGATAGATAGATAGATAGATCTATACATAGGTAGATAGATCTATAGATATGGAGATAGATCTATAGATAAATAGATCTATAGGTAGGTAGGTAGATAGATGATAGATAGATAGATCTATAGATATTGAGATAGATCTGTAGATAGATTATTAGATAGATAGATAGATAGATAGATAGATAGATAGATGAATGTGTAGACAGACATAGATACATGATACATACACATGGATTCAAAGAGAAATGGACAGATGTTTACATACATAGATGGAAGGATGGGTAGATAGATGGATAACTTATAGATGGAAAGCTAGACAGATGCATTGATACACAGGTGATAGATGGACCGACAGGTGTGAGTGCTCTGTGTACCTTGACTAAAGTTTTAGTGGCCTTGTAGGAGAAGGGGCCACAGCAACTGCTCTGCTCCGCTGGTACTTCCCATGTGAACCTAATGAAAAGGAGGAAATCCCCAGGCTTCAGAGAAAGGGGAACTGGGAAGCAGAGGGGCCTGAGGGAGTACTGATGGTAAATGGAGCAGAGGCGGGGAGAGCACCAGGCTGTGCCTGTGCTAGAGAACAGGCAGGTGTGTGTGTGTGTGTGTGTGTGTGTGTGTGTGTGTGTGTGTGTGTGTGTGTGCAGAGACAGAGACAAGACAGCCATCAGACCTGGCTCCATCAAAGATGTGGGTCTCAGCTCCTCTGTGGGCCTGGTTCAAGTGAAGCAGCAGCCTCATTTCCATCTCAGGGTGATGCCCCATGGTCTGAGGGGCATGCTGCCTCTGAGGCCAACAGTCCCACCTCTCCCATGGTCATGCTTTAGGCCAACGAGGCTTAAGGGAAGGGAACAGTCTCGGGGACCACACTTCAGGACCTATTGTTTGGGTTCTGGCCGTTGACACCAGCAGTGTCCTGGGCAGTTCTCAGCCTACACACCCTTCTGCAGTCTCAGAGGATGCAGTCTGTGAGTAAAGAATCATAAGACCTGTAACACAAATGTGGCCCAACCCCCAGCCAGGCAGCGACACAGCACCCCAGGACAATGAGGACACCACCCTGCCCATAGCTACAGACCACTGTGCAGCCACCTAAAGTCCCAGAATGGACCAGCAGATGGCACTGACCTGGGGGCTGCTCTACATGATCCTGCTGGCTCTCTGCTGGGGACATGGTGTGACAGAGGCACAAGGTAAGTCTGGAGGCCCCTTCCCTTTCCATCCCTCTTTTTAGCTGAGTCTGGGAGGAGCCCCGCCCACCATATCACCGCAAGCTCCCAGACCCCCAGCAGCTCCAGCCACTGTACCCATCTCTGTCTTCCTTTGTCTCCTGTATCCTCCTTTTCCTCCCTCAGGACTCCCCTGGGTCCTTCTCTTCCCTGATCTCCAGCTTCCTGCTCATCCTTGCCTGGCCCTGGAGCATCCAGCCCAATGGTGTTCCTCTGAACACATATGGTTCAGTCTAGCCTCCAAAGTCCCGACCTCCAATGAGCCAGCATCTTCTCTGCCCCTCCCCCAGACACTCTACTCCTCTGAGGGCTCCAGGATCCCCTAACCCTTGTTTTTGGTGACTCTGACCTAAAGCCCTCTCCCCACGATATCTCTAGCCCTCTCCTCTCCTCAGAGGCCCTGTGGGATACTTTAGAGGCTCCTGAGGGTGGAGAACTGTCCTCAGTGCCACTTAGAAGTCCTCCATGGCAGTGTGGGAGCCACATTCCCTTTCCCAAGCCCAGGTTCAGAGAACAAACTCAGCAGATCGGGACCCTGGACAGGGAGAGGCTGCTACATCTCAAGGCCGCTGTGTCTGTCCTTCCAAGTGACACCTCAGAGAACAGGGCAGGCCAGAGCAATGCCCCAGTGACGGCCTGTGCAGTCACAGCTGAGAATCCACTGGAACCTCATGTTCTTTGCAAAAGAGGAGAGTCCCCAACACAGCCCCACCAGGCTCAGGGCCCTCCATCTATCTGGTCACCAGGGTGGGCCTCAGCAGGAAGCTGGAGATGCTGGTGCTTAAAAGAGTTGTGGGAACCCAGGCATCATGGTGCATGGCTTTCATTGCAGCACTCAGGAGACACAAGAAGGGGGATCTCTGTGAGTTCCAGGACAGCCTGGTCTATATAGCAAGTTTCAGTACAGCCAGGGTTACACAGTATGACCCTGTCTCAAAAAAACAAAGACAAAAATGAAGCAACAAAACCAGGGGACAGGGGCACCTGGCGGGAGGTGGTGACTGTCCTGCTTCCCTCCTCAGAGACCGTCCCTCTGCAGACTCTGCAGTGCTACAATGACTACACCAGCCGCATCATCTGCAGCTGGGCCGACACGGAGGATGCCCAGGACCTCATGAACGTGACCCTCTATCGCAAGCTGGAAAAGTGAGTGCCACCGAGTGTACTGGTATTCCAGCACAAGGACCATGCTCCACCAACCCCCTCCACCCCGGCAGCACCAATGATGTGCAGCCACCATCCCAGGTCACCTTGCATCTGTGCTGCACTGCCACCCAACCCCTGCAGTGGCCGCAGCAGTCTCCTGCCCTGAGCATCCTGTCCCTCTCTCCTCTGCTCCTTACCACAGCCTCCTCTCAGGAGCCCACACTCCCTCACATCTTCCCAGTATTTCTTTCCTGGATGCACTCCCCCAGGATTTGGCTATCTCCAAGGGAACCAAACTGCCCCTGTCACTCAGAAATACCCCAAGTCAAATGGCCCAGCCTGGGCCCTCATCTACCAACCCACCCAGGATGACCTCCTTGTAGTTCACCTTACTTGACTCCCAGCGGCCACACTCACCAAGGTCCTTTTGGTGTCTCTGACACCTCCTTCTGGTCTCTTTGCTTCCCTTTACTCCTCTGTCCACTGTAGAGTGTGAGATCTCTAAATACGGCCCTGGCTTCCTATCTATATTCCGTCTTTGGAGAGCCCACCATGGGCCATGAGCAGAGACACTCAGATGAGGATCACCATTTCTAGTCCAACACCATAGGCCAAATTCTGCCCTTGACTCCGACTCCACGCCTCACTTTGTTAACTGGGAAGGATGGTAGCTTGACTAATGACTGGGAGGGCTGGTTGAAAATGGCTTCTACCTCGATTCCTGCCTCTCAGTGAACACTACCAAGTTAGTCTCCCAGTGAGATGCAGTCTGAGCAACTCAGACACCATCACCATCCAAACTACATACAATCACAAGGATGGCACCATCTCCCCAATCCGTCACCCTATGTCTTTCTTCAGCCCCTTACTCAGTGAAATCCTTTGATTTCTGCTTCACAACAAGTCCCCCCTTTCCTTCACTTATGTCCTGACATGCTTGTTATTAACACACACACAATGAAAGCTCCATTCCCTGTGACAGGACTCAGGACTGTTTTGCTTGCAGCAGGAAAGCCAATACTCAGGGACAAGTTGTTAGGGCCAAGAAAAGACTGATTGCCAAGTGTAAAAACTAAACAAGATTCCAGGGAGGGAGTTGGCAGAGACCACTGTGCGTTGATGTCAGAGTGTAGGACTTCTGGAGGGACTTGGGGAGAGGGTCCCTTTGGTCTCAGGTGGGCTTTCAGGCAGTTACCAAGTGGTCCTGAGTTTCAGTGTGATCGGGGTTTCAGACACACATGCTGCGATTATATGAAGGTCATTGGGTCGTGCATGTCCTGGGCACTGCACATCTAGAGAGTTATTATTAATCTGTAATGCTGTTGGGTTTTGTGCTGGTTTGTTTTTGTTTTTGTAATCAGACTCTGAGGCAGCAGGGAGGAACATTCTCTGAAGGTTTGAACCCCTAAGGGCAGTGCAAAAGCATATTTATTGATTGTTACACAAACGTTGTTTTTTGGTTAAAACAAGCCCTCATACCAAAGCCCCTGATCTTATCTATGTTTCATGAAGGAAAACATCACTCCCCTGCAGTTTTAGTCCTAATTTGCACTTTTTGCAGTACTCAATAATGCAAGATGTCCTAGGTGTGCCGGGACAGTCTTGTGACTGAAGTCACGCGAAGGCTGTAAAGCTCCTTCAGAAAAACAGCTCTCTACACAACAGAAAAGCATCACTGTTCTCCTCTTCTTCAAGGTCTACAGACTTCTAGAAAACAAATCCTTCATTTGATCGTTTACCCTAGATACAGCGACTCTGCTAGATGTCTTGCTACTAATCCACACATTTTCTCCTGGGTTTTATGAGCTTGTCTCTTTAGTTTATTTTCTCAGGGATTGTTAACCTTGCAGTTGAAGATACAGAAAGGGAAGAGAGCAGAAGAACTTCAGCTAGAGAATGATCTTGACCTGTTTCTATGGCCTTGGTCGGAGGTCCTGTCTAGAGTAAAGCTCATGGTAGACCAAGAATAACAAACTGTTCTGCCCTGTGAGGGCCCCAAAGCCATTTTCAAAGTCAACTAAAAGCTTTTGAAACTGGGGGCTTTTCAGGCTCCCCCTGAGTTGCACTCAGGTTTTAGTGAGCCTTGCCTGAGCCAGATCATTAACTGGACCCTAGACTGCACGCACATTCCTCTCTGTGAATTCTGGTTACAGGCCTGGTGGCAGCCCCAGGAACTTTGCACTTTCTGAAGTCTGCCCCCTGCAGAACCTGCCTGCTTTCCCCCAAGTCACAAGGGATTCTGTCCATATGACACATGTAGTGGGTTCAACTGTTCTCACAGCCAAATCTAGGCTCCTCAACCTGGCCTTTTTTTTTTATTATTATATGCAACATTTTCTTATAACACTGCATGGTGCTCACTGCATGGGCAGGTATGTGTGCATGTGTGTCTCCTTGTATGTTTGTGTGTGTGTGTGTGTGTTGTGTATGTGTGTGTGTGTCTGTGTAGCTGTGTGTATCTGTTTATATGTCTCTGTCTCTGTGTGCATGTATGTGCTTCTGTGCATGTGTATATGTCTGTGTTTATCTGTGTTGTGTATGTGTGTATATGTTTGTATATGTGTCTGTTGTTCACTGCCAGACATTGACTTTGGATAAAATCAGGCATGTAGTAGGAGCTAATGAATGTTCACTGACAGGAACTATCCAGTGTCCTGTGACCTCAGTGAAGACCTACTGTGGCCAGAGTGCCCGCCCCCACACCGTTGTGTGCCCCGAAGATGTGTCATCCCCTACACACAGTTCAGCATCACTGATGAAGACTACTACTCATTCCAGCCCGATCGGGATGTGGGCATCCAGCTCGTGGTTCCACTGGCCCAGCATGGTGAGGAGCGTGGGTCCTGCCTGGGCAGTGGGTACAAGAGTGGGTCGGCTACCAGAGGTGGGCTAGAGTGAGTGTCTCCGGGGTTTAGGGACCATGCCCTGGGGTTAGAACAGATGTGATATGAGGCCTCTGCCTGAGGGTCCCCCTGTCCCACCTGCTTCTGCCAACTACCAAGTCCCCAAGCTGTCCTCTAGGAGGAGCCATGCCTGTGACTCTGTAGGACTTTGCAGGTGACAGAGCTGTGGTCTTTCTTGTCTTCCCTCATGACTGTAACACCTTCCCCTATGGCTGAGGCTCCAAGACCCACAGAAATCCCAAAGGATGACCGTGGAATAGGGATGGCCATGATAGGTCATATTGCCATGCCCTTCCATGCTTCTGACCTAGAGCCAGGCTTCTCACCACCCTCTCTGTCCCCAAGGCTGTGCAGCAGTCCCCAGGACTGTTCTTAGGGGGACCCAATGATGATCCGGGAGGTTTGTTTGAGGACTGTAGAAGAAACGTCACCAGCTACTCAGACTAAAGGAGAAAGTGAGGTTTGCATTGAACTCTAAGCATGTGTCAGGCTCTTAGCTGGGCACCTTGGATCCTGTTTGCCCTTCAACAGTGCGAGCTTGAGTGGTGTTGTAATATGAGTGCCTGCGGGGTCTGAGAGAGCCCTGCCTCCTGGGGGATCAGGCTTCAGGCAAAGAGTTAGGAGACACACGGGAGCCAGCTGCCACATGCAGGGGATGGAAGGCAAAGGGCTCTGGCCATCAGGAAGAGCTTCCCAGGAGTAGCAGAGGAGCTTTGTGGCTGAGTCCTTGGTTTGGGCAGAGCACAGAGTCCAAAGTAATTCTAGGCCTGGAAACCACATGTGCAAAGGCTGATTACCGGGGCAGGTCTGGAGAGAGTGTGACATGCTGGAAAACCTGGCCACATCCATTGGAACCAAGAAACCTCAAGGTGAAAAGTCTAGACAATGGCAGGGAGAGCAAGAGATACAGGCAGCTGCATCTCAAGCCTTGATACAGGGAAGGGGGCAGGGATGAGGTAAACTTACCCTGGTGGGACAGGCAGGGACAGGGGTCACAATGATCTGTGGTGAGACAAGAAGACGGACAAGGAGTTCTGTCTGGGGACAGGAGTCCCAGATGTCACCAGGAGAGAGGACACACTGAACAATGACAACAGTAGGCACCAGGGCTGTGAAGAGGGTGGGTAGCAGAAGAGGGAGCAGGGGGAGGCTCACAGCGCCCACTGCTGGAAGGAAGGCCCCAGTGCCCAGCCCAGCAGGAGGAGGCCCCTTGAATTTCCTTGAAATTCAGGCCATGCAAGGCAGGATTGCTGTCAAAACTGGTCCCCATGTTTTCAGTTCCAGGCCTGAAGCCAGAGGAAGGGTCCTGAGGGTCTTTGTCATGATCATCAGCTGATGGGGGCAGCACTGAACCTGGGCCCAAGTGGCACCCAAAGGGCAAGCTGCCCTCAGCTCTCCCAGCATGCAACTCTCACAAACCCTCTGCTTCCCCCCTGCAGTGCAGCCCCCACCTCCCAAGGACCTCCACATCAGCCCCTCTGGGGATCACTTCCTGCTGAAGTGGAGTGTGACCCTTGGGGATGCCCAGGTCCCCTGGCTGTCACAAGAGGACATCCAGTTTGAGGTGACTTACAAGAGGCTTCAGGACTCCTGGGAGGTAGGACCCTCAGCCATCTGTGCCCAGCCTGGTGGAATGGACTCTAGCAGGCTGCTCCTTCAGCTCACATGTCTCCACAGGATGCCCCCAGCCTCCACACCAGCGACATGTGGGTCTCTCTGGAGCCAAAGCTGCTCCTACCCAATAACATCTATGTGGCCCGGGTGCGCACTCGGCTGTCTCCAGGCTCAAGCTTGTCTGGAAGGCCCAGCACATGGAGCCCTGAGGTGCAATGGGACTCCCAGCCAGGTAATGGGGCCTGTAGGAAGTGCTCCTCTTCAGAGCCCAGACAGTGGAGACTTAGTCTAGACCTGAGGCTCCAGCAATGTCCTACCTGGTCATCAGCACCTCCCACCTGCCCTGGGTCCCCAGTGTCCCTACCTGGGCCACTCAGTCTCACACACTGTGAGATCTATGGCCACACATGTGTTCTGTTCATGCCAGTGACAGTCATGACAGCAGCCACAGCAGCATAGGCCCTGTGTGTTATCAAGGGCTGGGTATAGGGTCACCTACGTCCCTGTGTTCACCCCAACACTCAACACTTAGAACTGGCCCCCTCTCCCAAGATGGGGCACAGGTACCGGGGGTCTTCCCAAGCTGGGGGCACACAGCGGACAGGCTCAAAGCAGAGCTGGGCTGATGTCCACAGCCAGGATCTGCTGCTCCAAAGGCCATCCTCCCTGTGAGGCACTTAGTGTCCCAACCTAGGGAGTGACTGAGGGTCAGTGACTGAGGGCGATGGATTCCCCACAGGGGACAAGGCCCAGCCTCAGAACCTGCTGTGCTTCTTTGATGGCATCCAGTCCCTCAGCTGCTCCTGGGAGGTGTGGACCCAGATGACTGGCTCTGTTTCCTTTGGGCTCTTCTACAGCTCCAGCCCGGCGGCTCCGTGAGTGTCCCCTCTCCATTCCGCCCTGCTTCTCCTCACCCTCAGGGCTGTACCTCTCTGAGGTCTTAGCCCGATCTGACCCTCCCCTGCCCCTGCTCTCAGCTCCACTGTACTTCCCCAGGGAGGAGGAGTGCTGGCCCGTGGTGAAGGAGTTGCAGGACAGCCTCCGCACCCGGTACCACTGCCGCCTGAACATGTCCAGCCCCAGGGCACACAGCCAGTACACGGTCTCTGTTAAGCCGCGGAAACAAGGGAAGCACATCAAGAGCTCTAACCACAGTGAGTTTGCCCTGCTCTGCATAGGTCCTAGGGCTCTAGGAGTCCATTGTGTCACCCCAGTAAACACAGGGATCTCTTGGGCATCTTTGTGTCTTGTCACTTTCAAAGTTTTGCAGACCTGTGACTCACAGTGATAAGATGACTATTCTGGGATTAGGAATGTGTCCCAGTAGGTAAGAGTGATTGATGAACAAGCATGAGAACCTGAGTTCAATCCCAGCACCCACATAAAAATGTGAGTGTGCTCATATCGACATGGCAAGAGACAGGAGGATTGTTGGGGATTTCTGACTCCCAACCCGGATCCAGGTTCAGGGAGAGGTCCTGTCTGATAGGAAAGATCACGGAGAAAGGCCAGGAGACATCTTTCTATGGCTTCTGCATAAGTATGTATAGGTATCCACATCCACGTGTAGCCATGTGCAAGAGAGAAAGAGAGAGAGAGAGAAAGAGAGAGAGAGACAGAGAGACAGAGAGAGAGACAGAGACAGAGAGACAGAGACAGAGACAGAGTTAGAGAGTGAGAAAGAGGAAGCAGAGAACCACAGCCCACTTGTAACTCACACTCTGCTGCAGATCACACTTGTCACCCCTCAAGAGTCACCCCTGAAACCTGCTCCCTCCTTCCCTCCCACTTCCTCTCAGTGCACACTTGTCCTGCCCTTGGACCCCCCTCCTGTAACCATCCTTTCTCCCTGAGCTTCCCAGACTCCTCCTCCAACTCATGTTTCACTTCTCAAACTCTGCTCTAGGTTTTACTTTTGTGCCAGGGAAGGCGTGTGTACCAGCAGATGGCTTCCTTGCGGATCCCTGTCACACCTTCCTGGCACCTGGCAAGGACCCTGAAACAAGGGGGGCTTTCATCCAACCTGTAATGTGGGCCACTGTCCACAGCCAATCTCTTGGAAAGCTGAGTTCACATCCAGCATTTTCTCTTGGTGTCCTCCCTCCCTCCCGGAAAAGGGACTCCTCTGATTCAACAGAGCCCTTCTGTATGTTATAATCCTACACATTATTTTCATACAAGCCCTCTGAGGTCATCAAGCTATGAATCTTTTGTTTTGATGGGGAGAGAGAAGCTGGGAGTGACTGAGTGACTTCATTTGTTGCCCACCTCTCTCAGAATGTACATCAGGGTTACATGAGAAAGCCTGAGCACACGGTCATGCCTCAGCCTGAGGTCTGCTGGCCAAGTGGGCAGGGCTGGCAGCAAAGGTCTCCAACTTTAAGTTTGGCACAGTGTTGAGGGGAGATGGTCATCTGAGTATATCCCAAGGCCTAGTTCAGCTGGTGTGTGGGTTGGATGTGGGGAGCTTTTAGACTAGCAAGGACTTCCTAGCCCCTCCTGGCTTCAGGCAAATCCCAGGGTCCCTGAAGCAGCAGAGAAGAGTGGCTGACACAGGACCATGGAGGCACAAACTCTCTACGACTCAGTTGTTATCTGTATATGTTCTGGGGCTCAGTTTCCCCATGAACACCAAGCTATGGACCACCTCACCACCGAGGCTCACCTCAGCTGCTGCCCCAGGGACCAGCTAGGGACACTGTGATTTGGTAATGCAGGGCGTTTGTCTTAGTCACATTTTTTTATTGTTGTGAGAAGTCATCATAACGAAGGTAATTTACAAAAGAGAGAGTTTACTTTGAGATTATGGTTTCAGAGGGTCAGAGTTCATGATGCAGAGCATGGGGAGCAGGCACAGGGGCAGGAAGCCACTGGGACACATCTGTTTTTGCTTTTGTTTTTTTTGTTTGGTTTTTCAAGACAGGGTTTGTCTGTGTAGCCTCAGCTAACAGGGACCTTGCTTTGTAGACTAGGATGCCCCAAACTCTCAGAGGTCTATCCGCCTGTCGTTGCCTTTCAAGTGCTGGGACTAAAGAGTGCACCCCCAGGCCCACATCTTGAATCACTAGCCAGAGGCAGAGTACAACTCAAAGCCCACCCCCAGCGACACACCTCCTCCCACGAGGCCACACCTGCTAATCCTTCTCAAACAGTTCCACCAACTGGGGACCAAGGATTCAAACATATGAGCCTATGCGGGGGAGGGGGACATTCTCATTCCAAACCACCACAGAGTTCAAAGGAGTCAACTTGACTTGGGCCTGGGGAGAGAGCTCCAGCGAGGGGAGCACCCGGAACAAGTCTGGAGCACGGGGGAAATTCTGCTGGAGGAAGGACACCAGGACATTCCCTGACATGATCCCCCCTCCAGTCCAGATGCACCCTCCCACCCTCAACGTGACCAAGGATGGAGACAGCTACAACCTGCGCTGGGAAACTAAGAAAATGTCCTACTCTCACATCGAGCACAAATTCCAAATCCAGTACACGGAAAACCCGGACACATGGGAGGTGAGGTCCAGCACCCAGGGGAAAGTTAGGGACCAAAGGGAGTCCTATTTCCAGGAGCCTGGCCTCTGTGCCTTAGGACCCACTTGGTCAACAGCTGACAGTCCCTTCTCTTAATGGAGGACTCAGGCTCAGGGAAGGGAGATGACACGGTCTTCTGACCAATGCTGCCCTTGAGCTGACAGAAAAGAGACAAAGTGGGTAGCAGAGGAAACTGTGTGGTATATTTCTTTACACTGTGTGAATATAAGGCATTGTGACTGGGTTAATAAAGAAGCTGACTGACTAATAGCTGGACAGGTAGAGACTAGGTGAAACTCGGTACATACCTGGAATGAGGTTCAATGATCACCCAGATCTGGATGTATTTCATCCCAGAACTAGATCTGAGACAATGGTGTAGCTGCTCAAGGCAGGTCTTGACCAGCACTCATCCCATATGCAGAGGCCTGGCACCTAGATGCAGAGTGAGACTCCACAGGCCCCAAAGCAGGACTATGTGACCAGGATCCTAACGTCAGAGAGGGAATGGGGTAACTGAGGCCTGAGAGTGGGGCAGCAGAGTCAGGTTATCCCTGATACCACCATCCATCCCTCATCTCATGGCCTGGGACCCAGGAAACCAGTATGACGCTCCTGCATCAGACAGAATTTAGGCCAAGGCAGCACACCAGACAAACTGGGAGGTAGAGAGAGTCTGAGCTTGAGCCTGGGTGTCGCTGTTGGCGCTGGAAGAGGTGGCATCTGGGGCCACCACAGCGGTGGGTCACAGGAGGCTCTGTCCTGGGGTCCTGGACTGAGCTAGAACTTCAACACATCTGCCTCTGCAGGACAGCAAGACAGAGAACCTAGATCGTGCCCATAGCATGGCCCTGCCACAGCTGAAGCCCTCCACCACATACCGGGCCAGGGTGAGGGTCAAGCCGCTCCCTGACTACCATGGGATCTGGAGTGAGTGGAGCGAAGAGCAAACCTGGACCACTGGCTGGGGTATGTCTCTCAGGCCACCACCACACTCCTGGGACAGCCCCACTGCACAGGGCAAGGGGCGCTCTAGACCATTCTACCCTGGCCTCCCTCTCCCTGTGTCTGGTCCTGGGTAAAAGCTCTTGGTAAATAATACACTCTAAGAGGAGACTTGGGAGAGGAGAGGATCTGTCTTACTGTCCTTCCTCCTTTCAGTTGGGGCCTAGGCCTCTATTTACAGGGCACTTGGCTTTATTAGACTTGGTGGCAGCCATGACTGGTCAATCCGAGTTCCTAGTTACCATGGCTGCAAAGCTACACTAACTACCTACACACACGTTAGTGCCCCGGGAGGGCAGGTGTGGGGATCCACTGGTCCTGACCATTTCCCTTCCCTTGACACATGCGTTCAACACTCACTGTTCCCATGGTGATCTCCAGGACACACACTCTGCTAGGGAAGATCCAGGGAAGACTAAAGAGGACACGGGAGGTGGGTGGTGGGATAAAGCATCCACAAGTATGCCTTGTGGCAGGGGGAGTCTCGGGGTGACAGTCAGTCAAGCAGAGGGAGGGCTGGAGCCATGGATTCAGGTGATAGAGAGGCGACCTAGAGGGTCCAGGTCAAGAAGGTCAGTGTACTGTCAGAAGGGACCCTCTGTGGCCCACTTTCCATCTCCTCTGACCCTCCCTGCACCTGGAGGTCATGCTCCATGCTGCCTCCTTCAGGAAGTCTCCCCAGTTGCTACAATCAGTCATTTCCTCTGGGTACTTGCTGATGCTGCTTAGGGCAGAACTTCCCCACACTGAGCACTGGGTTCAGACCCAGGGGTTCTTCCCAGGGTCCTGGGCCTTCCTCACAGAGCACCTGGGGGACCATAGTCTCCTACCTTAGCCTGCATCCTGAGCCTCACAAATAACCCTCCTTCCTTTCTCCTTGAACAAGTGATGCCCACTTGGGGGATCGTCCTCAGCCTGATCTTCCTCGTCCTCTTCTTGCTCCTGGGCCTCCGCTTTGGCTGTGTCTATGGGTACAGGTAAGTGCAGTCTGTAGACTGAGGCAAGTGGACACGGGGCTCCAGGGTCCAGCGATGACACAGCCTAACAGGCTAGCATTCCTACCCTGCCACTCATTCCCTGGCTTCAGTTTTCCCTGTATACATGGGCACAGGAGGAGCTGGCCTGGAGGTCCCTGGAACCTCTCATTCACACCTCTTCCTGCTTTCTTCCAGGATGTACAGGAAGTGGAAGGAGAAAATCCCCAACCCCAGCAAGAGCCTCCTGTTCCAGGTAAGAAGGCAGACCCTGCTGCTGTCTCCCTGTCCATGGCTGTCACAGTGGAGAAGGGTGGGAGACACGGGAGGCTGGACTAGCAGGAGGTGGGTCTCTGGCGCTCCTTGGATACCCTAAAGAGCATGAGTTCCACAAGTTGCCCTAGCACAGCCTGGAGCCACAGACACACCTGAGGCGTTCCCTTACAGAGGATGGCTGGGGGTGGGGTGGGATGCTCTTTGCAGTAGGGAGGGGGCTGAGGGCCTCCAGGAAAGGACTTGAGCCTTGCAAAAGATATCTCTGAGCTGCTGGGAGAGCCAGCTACATCCAGGGTGCCTTCAGAGGATCAGGTCCTGAGACAGGGGTGTCAAGGATGGAAGGACGTGGTTGTCAGCTTCTCGTGAGACAATGTTCATGGGTGGACACCAGTGCCATGGGAGAAGAAGCTGTGGTGAACAGTGTGGTCTGTGCCCTTCAGGAACTTGATATCTCTGGGAAGTCATAATCCCTTGCATGCCTCTTGCTTTTTTAGTGACAGATACCTGAACTAGGCTTCTCCATGGGGACATTCTTCCCATGTCTGGAGCTCATCAAAGACACAATACACGCATGCCATCCTTCTCTGTCCCCTCCTTCCTGAGGTGACACATTCACAAGCAAAAATGCCCTTTACCTTCTAGGATGGAGGTAAAGGACTCTGGTCTTCCAGCAACACGGCAGCATTTCCCACTAAGAACCTTAGTCTCCAGGGGCCACGGAGCAACCTTGTCGCTGAGCTACAGAGGTGAGTGGTTGGCTTCTGACCCTTTGGGAGCCTGAGGAAGGAAACACCTCCATTGTGCACATCAGGTAGCCTGTGTGTCTCTGAAGAGTCTGTATTAGATGACACTCACTGTAGCAAGGAGCACCCCAGATAGAGTTGAGGAAGATCTTCCTGATTCCCAGGTTAGAGTGAGACAGACAAGGGTCCAGAGGCAGCATCCTGAAGTGGGAAAACTCTCCCTGCCAGGCTGCCTATGTAAGCCATGCACTGCCTTGGCCTCGTGGGTGGCAAAGACCCCATACCTACAGGAGTTCAGCCTGTGTGGGGAGAGATAAACCTCTGTCAGGGAGAGTCAGTGGCACTGTAGGAAGAAGGATGTAAGGCATGGATGGTACCCAGGCAAGCGTGAGCCCAGCCCTGAGGTAGTGGCCTGGAAGGGGCAGAAGATGAGGGAAAAGCCTGGGATGGTGATGTCAACTGAGCCCTGGTACATGATCCTTGGAGACACCGAACATATGCCAATGTTATTTTCCGGGCCCAGTCTCTACCATGCCTTGGTGCTCACTGTGAAGTCCGGAGTGGTTCAGGCCCTCTGGAGAGCCCCACCTGCTCTGGGTATACATTAAGTATCTAGGTTCCATATCTCTCATATCTATCTCTATTGTCTCCACAGGATGTCATATGCACATTTGGGGGTCAATGAAGTGTCGCCACTCACCATAGAGAACCCCAACATTGTCCAAGACCCACCATCTGGGCCTGATTCAACTCTAGCCGCCTCATCAGAACCCATGGATCAGCTTTCCACTGACCAGCAAGACCCACCAACCACTTCTGGCAGACCTGGGAACCAGACACCCAGCTTTGACTTCGATGGCCCCTACTTGGGGTCTCTCCAAACCCACTCCCTGCCTGATCTCCCAGGCCCGTTGGTCACCCCCCAGATTGGTGGGAGCCTGAGGCCAGCACTGCCAGGCTCCCTGGAATACCTGTGCCTGCCTCCTGGGGGACAAGTACAGCTGGTCCCACTGTCCCAGGCCATGGGGCAGGGCCAGGCTGTGACTGTGGAATGTGAGCCTAGCCTGGGTTGCACAGAGAGCCCTTCCATGGAACCAAAGGACAGCCCTTCACTTGAGCTGAGGTTGGAGGAACAGGAAACAAAGGACAACCCAGTGACTCTGCCCATAAGCTCTGGGGGCCCCGCGGACCCTGTGGCGGCCTCTGGCTATGTCAGTCCTGCAGATCTGGTGCTCACTCTGCCCACAGGGCCCCTCTCTACCTCTCTGATCCCCTCTCTAGGGTCCCCCTCAGCTCAGGGCCCCAGTCTCTGTCTCAGGCTGCCTGGGGTCCCTCCTCGAAGCCCAGCTCTTCCACCACCAGAGTTTGATGACTATGTGGAGCTCCCTCCAAGCATGAGCCAGCCCCCCCAGTGCCCTCTGGGCAGTTCTGTCCCTCCTGTGCCAAGCATTCCCGCAGCGAGCCCAGCAGAGCCCAGGGAGGAGGTGGCCCCAGCATCCCCTCACCCTGAAGGCCTCCTTGTTCTTCAGCAGGTCGGGGACTACTGCTTCCTCCCTGGCTTGGGGCCCAGCTCCCCCTCACCACATAACAAACCACCTTCTCCAGGCCTGTGTCCTGACACTGTGGACCTAGACCAGGATCTGTCTGTCAAAAAGCTTCCCTGCCAGCCCATGCCCCAGGTGCCAGCTATTCAGTTTTTCAAGTCCCTGAAGCATCAGGACTACCTGTCACTGCCCCCTTGGGACAGCAGCCAGCCTGGGAAAGTATGCTGAGTCCACCCCTCCCAATCACACCAAAAGCCCTGTACCTCAGCCTGTGGACCTCAGTCTGACATCTTCACAGAACCCCAGAGGCTTCCTTGAAGACATGCTCAGTCTTCCCTGACCTTAGCCCTGACCTTCAGCAATACCCTCCATCCCCTCTCTGGTTTCCTGGATGTTGTAGGATCATGTTTCCTTTCCTTCTGACTTGCTGGAGAAGGTATGGGACCAGAGAGGCCTCTGAGGGTGAGATCTGCATGGTCTGTTTAGGGTTTAAGGACTGCTATGGTCTTCTTGTCCCCCTCAAGCGCCAATAACATCACACAGTTCTGGTTCAGTGTATGAATTGGAAGGCTCAAGGGGACACTTTGAGGATCAGACTTGTAAAAGAGGCAGGCTCAAGTCATTCCCAAATGGGCATGGTCTTCTATGGCTATCTAAAGCTCCTGGGAGCCGTAGGAGTCCTTTGAGAGGAGACTGGGGACCCTCATCATGTAGAGAAGTGGCTGATGTGGGCAATGCTGGCTAGTGGCCACAGCTGTGGCCAGGCTGGATTGATGAAAAACAACAGGGAAGCCTGGCATCATGAACTCATGGTGTCAACTGAAGAAAATCCAGGGTGTGGATCCCTGGAAGGACAGGAGCATGGTGATCACACAGGACAGTACATCCAAAGACTCAGTCTGCACATCCGGGCTGCTCTCCCTCCAGAATGCCTGGATACCTGTGGCTCCCACTGACCTCAGATGTGGGTTGCTGCAGGACTGTGGTACTTGGAAATGACTACCTTCTTGACACTCTGGGCACCATGGCATTACCTCAGTCCATTCTCACTTGCATTATTTTCAAGGTCAGGTTTGCACATGGCTTTTGTATATGTCTTGAGTATCGGCTTTTTTGTTGCTGGGCAGGAGGGATTGGGGACGGATCCCATGAATGATTTTGTCCCTCAGAGTATCATCTCAGATGAGACTGTTCAGCTCTTTCCATGTGGCCTTTTGTGGGGCACGCACGGCTCCACTGAATGTGCTCTCTCTTAGTTTTGTGCAGGAGGCACAATGGCGCCCTCAGCACTTACAGGCTGCATTGCTGTGTGACCCATTGCAGAGCTGAACCTCTCTTTGGGGTCATATTTGCAGTGGCCTTTGCAGCAAACATACATGTGCCTTCTTTTATATGCTTTCTGCATCTCAAGCCTTGCCCGGGAGGTTTTAACTTTCTAGAACCCAGGCTTACACTGCAGAGATCTGTCTTTTTGTGATCTGAGGACCTGGAGCCAGGGCACATTGTGTCAATTCTTCACCCCTCTGCTCTCCATCCCTGAATCTGAAAGGCCCCTTTGTGACCCATCAAGTCCTCAGATGGGCCTGCTCTGTCCCAGCATGTTATGTGGTAGCCTCACTCCCTAGATGGCAGCCATGCCTCTTTACATTCTCACAGGCAGAGCAAGTGTTCCTTGGTCCCTGTGCATTGCAGCAAAGAAACCCACTAACATCTTGAATGTGTTTCTGTGGTGATGTTCACAATAGCCTATCAATATGTTCTATAATGGACCCCTCTAGGGAAACAATCAAGAAAGACCTCCATGTATCAAGACATTGACTCCAAATTGCCTGACATTAAGAGGGAGAGAACATTGTAATAAAGTATTTGTAACATATCACACAAAGTCGTGTGTGTGTTGGAAGGTTAGGGGAGAGGATATCTTCAACCCCTAAATGCATGTCAAGAATACAGATTCCATAGCTTGGGACATTTGATTTGAGACTCTGCAGTTAGTGTCTGTCCCCACTGATGCTGATGATACTGGTCTGGGGACAGTGTTTCCATTCTGAGAAGGCAAGACTGTGGGGACAGTAAAAAGTGCAAAATCTGCAGGAGGAATGAACTAGCAGAGAGCAGATCCTGCCAGCTGTGAGCCAGCTGTGAGACATTGCCATGGTGGGCGTGGGCCGCACTGCATTTGTCCAAGTCCACAGAATGGGAAATACCAAGTGTGCACCCCAAAGTCAACCTCCGAGGTTGGCAGGCAGTGGTGTATCCATACATACTTGTCCAATGTGCTACTGTTGCCGTGCCTGAGGATTTGACGTCTCCCAGAGCACCGTTGCTAACCCTCGTGGTGGCATCAGATGAGGTCTTTGACAGATGTGATGAGGTCACGAGGTCCAACCCTGTCAACAGGGTTTGGTGCCCTGACAAAGGAAACTCAAAGAGGCACCCACCGCCTCGACCCTTTCTGCCGTGAGAGGAAACAGTAAGAAGCGCCTGCCTGTGAGGGAGTTGCTCTAGCCAGGAACGGAGTCGCTCCTTTCTTTTCTTTGTTTCTGGAGGTAGGATCTTGCTATGTAGTCCAGGCATGCATGAAACTCATTTTGTAGCTCTGATTGATCTTGAAATCACTATGTAGCCCAGGCTGGCCTCAAACTCTCGGCAATGCTGCCTTAGCCTCCTGAGTACTGAGATGACAGGCACTTGCTGCCACATCTGGCTTCAGGGGCCTCTTATTCTGGGTTTCCCAGTCTCCAGAATCACAAGAAACAATTCTACTACTTGTTACCCCCTCAATTTTTATTTTATTTTAGTTTTTGGTTACAGCAGCTCACAGGGACCAAGATAACTATGGTGCAAGCTGCTGGTGTTGGGGAGGCTATGGGGGACCATGGGTACTCTATGGATCTAAATTTTGCAATGAACACAAAATCACTCCAAAAATTAAAGTCTATTTTAAAAGTATTATAAGAATATTATATCTCATGCCTTTCCCAATTCTGGATATTAAGATTTTTCACCCCTAATATTTACCAACCTGGCAAATTAATAATGTGTCCAACTTTAATTCTTATATTGCTGATTACTAGTGAGGATACTTTTGATCAGTTTTGTTTATTTTCCTCTGGGTCCTTATTGATTTATTGTGACTCTTTACTTATGATGGTCATTAAGCCTGTCTCTACCATCTTCAGCCCATGTCTGTGGTGGCCTCCTAGCCCTCAACCATCTAACCAGTACCCCGTGAACTCACCATCATCTCACCCACCTGTTTCACACTCCCATTTCCCACATCATGTCCCCATATTCTTAGAGGATTGGGCCTCCCAGAACCTCTGCCTTCTGGCCCTCGGCTGTGCACGCAGTCTCAGCCTGGTCTCACACCTGCACAAACCACCTGAACCGGCTCCCGCTCTGACTTCCCCACCTCGGAACAAAAGCAGGCTAGACAGAGGTGGTGACACCAGGAGTCACTTGAGAGGGTCTCTTGAGAATCAGCTGTCCATCTATTGTTCTCAGTTTTTTCCATCAACAGCTCGGCCCATCTTATCCCTTCTTGTAAACAGGGAGCAAGTGTGAGACACTCCGTTAAACAGAGTTCCAGATGACCAGCACGTATTAGCTCCCTTCACTCACATTCTCCTCCTCCCTCTCCTTCCCTCCTGGTTGATCACAGAAGCTCACCTGCTTCTCACCCTGTGGGCCACAGCGAGGATCTCTCCTCACTACCCTGTCCTCATGTCACATCATTCTTGCTGAAACTGTCCCCACACTAACTACAGTGTCTCAAAGACCAAATGTCTGGGCCTATGGAATCTGTCCATTCATTTATTCACTCATTCACTCACTTATTTATTTATTTATTTATTTATTTATTTATTTATTTATTTATTTATTTGGGTTTTTCAAAACAGGGTTTCTCTGTGTAGTTTTGGAGCCTGTCCTGGATTTCCCTCTGTAGAGCAGGCTGGCCTTGAACTCACAGAGATCCCCCTGCCTCTGCCTCCTAAGTGCTGGGATTAAAGTCATGCGCCTCCACAACCTGGCTTGGAATCTGTCTTCTTGACAGTGCACTTAGGGGTTCAAAATGTCATCTCCAAGCCTGGCGGTGGTGGCGCACGCCTTTAATCCCAGCACTCGGGAGGCAGAGGCAGGCGGATCTCTGTGAGTTAGAGGCCAGCCTGGTCTCCAAAGCGAGATCCAGGAAAGGCGCAAAGCTACACAGAGAAACCCTGTCTCGAAAAAACCAAAAAAAAAAAAATCAAAATGTCATCTCCCCTAACTTTCCAACACACACACACACACACACACACACACACACACACACACACACACACACAACTTTGAGTGATATGTTACAAACATTTTACTACAATGTTCTCTCCCTCTTAATGCAAGACAATTTGGAGTCAATGTCTTTATACATGGAGGTCTTTCTTGATTGTTTCCCTAGAGGGGTCCATTATAGAACATATTGATAGGCTATTGTGAACATCACCACAGAAACACATTCAAGATGTTAGTGGGTTTCTTTGCTGCAATGCACAGGGACCAAGGAGCACTTGCTCTGCCTGTGAGAATGTAAAGAGACATGGCTGCCATCTAAGGAGAGAGGCTACCACATAACATGCTGGGACAGAGCAAGTCCATCTGAGGACTTGATGGGTCACAAAGGGGCCTTTCAGATTCAGGGATGGAGAGCAGAGGGGTGAAGAATTGACACAATGTGCCCTGGCTCCAGGTCCTCAGATCACAAAAAGACAGATCTCTGCAGTGTAAGCCTGGGTTCTAGAAAGTTAAAACCTCCCGGGCAAGGCTTGAGATGCAGAAAGCATATAAAAGAAGGCACATGTATGTTTGCTGCAAAGGCCACTGCAAATATGACCCCAAAGAGAGGTTCAGCTCTGCAATGGGTCACACAGCAATGCAGCCTGTAAGTGCTAAGGGCGCCATTGTGCCTCCTGCACAAAACTAAGAGAGGGCACATTCAGTGGAGCCGTGCGTGCCCCACAAAAGGCCACATGGAAAGAGCTGTACAGTCTCATCTGAGGAGATGACACTCTGAGGGACAAAATCGTTCATGGGATCCGTCCCCAATCCCTCCTCCCCAGCAACAACAAAAAAGCCGATACTCAAGACATATACAAAAGCCATGTGCAAACCTGACCTTGAAAATAATGCAAGTGAGAATGGACTGAGGTAATGCCATGGTGCCCAGAGTGTCAAGAAGGTAGTCATTTCCAAGCACCACAGTCCTGCAGCAACCCACATCTGAGGTCAGTGGGAGCCACAGGTATCCAGGCATTCTGGAGGGAGAGCAGCCCGGATGTCCAGACTGAGTCTTTGGATGTACTGTCCTGTGTGATCACCATGCTCCTGTCCTTCCAGGGATCCATACCCTGGATTTTCTTCAGTTGACATCATGAGTTCACGATGCCAGGCTTCCCCGTTGTTTTTCATCACCCCAGCCTGGCCACAGCTGTGGCCACTAGCCAGCATTGCCCACATCAGCCACTTCTCTACATGATGAGGGTCCCCAGTCCTCTCTCAAAGGACTCCCAGGGCTCCTAGGTGCTGCAGGCCGCAGGAATATATCATAAGAACTCAGCTGGTTATGGCAAAGTCACTACCTGGAGGAATCAGGGAATTCCTCCAGAGGAAGCCAAATCCCAAGGAGTTTTTGGTGTTACTTGGCTTGTTATATATCAGCTGTATTCTGTTATGAAAATCATGTGTGCCTTCATAGTTTTTCCAATTGACTTCCCCCTAAGAAGGGCTAACAGTGTGGACTGATCACTCTCTGGACATACACATTCCAGGTATTTGGAGAACAGCCTCAGGAAAGGCTTTCTCTGGAATCAAATTATCTCCCTTAGCCACTTTCAAGGACTACAGGAAACACCACCCAGGTGGGCGCCCAACTTCCAAGGACTAACAATGATAACAGCCCACCTGCAAGTCTCCTGACTTACAGTAAATTCCACAAGGAGACACCGCCTAGGAGAGGTGGACGTTAAGTAATAGCTTTACACAATTTAGCTCTGAACCTCCCTTTATATACCGGGACTTCCAGGGCACAGGGTGGAGAAGAGAAAAGAGAATGGAAGAACTAGATGGGTAAGAACTTGAGAGGAACAAACTGAGATGGGGAAGAACTAGATTGAAGGGCTAGAAGAGAGGACTAGAGGAACGAGATGGAAGCTGAGGAAGAGCCAGATGGGGAAGAACAAGATGAGGAAGAGCCAGATGAGAGAGAAGGAGACGGGAGAGGAGCTGATAGGGGAAAGAACTAGATAGATGAGAACCTAGAAGGGGCAGAACTAGATGAAGGAATTAAGGTAGAACCTAGAGGGGACAGTAGATAAATATAGAGAGAAATCAGGCAAGAAAGGAGCTAGACATGAGAGCAGAATAGAAGCTGTGTAGAGAGAGAACTATCACAGAATAATAAAGTGTATGAACTAGGAGTCTCGTGTACATAGATTCATTTCTTTTCATCAGAGATTAATTATCAGCTGGTTGTAGATTCTTCCCGGACCTGGGAGGGGACTATCGAGGGGCTGGACCCCCATAGTCCCTGATACCCAGGAGCTTTAGATAGCCATAGAAGACCACGCCCATTTGGGAATGACTTGAGCCTGCCTCTTTTACAAGTCTGACCCTCAAAGTGTCCCCTTGAGCCTTCCAACTCATGCACTGAACCAGAACTGTGCAATGTTATTGGCTCTTGAGGGGGACAAGAAGACCATAGCAGTCCTTAAACCCTAAACAGACCATGCAGATCTCACCCTCAGAGGCCTCTCTGGTCCCATACCTACTCCAACAGTCAGAAGGAAAGGAAAGCTGATCCTACAACACCCAGGAAACCAGAGAGGGGGTGGAGGGTATTGCTGAAGGTCAGGGCTAAGGTCAGGGAAGACTGAGCATGTCTTCAAGGAAGCCTCTGGGGTTCTGTGGAGATGTCAGACTGAGGTCCACAGGCTGAGGTGCAGGGCTGCTGGTGCGGTTGGGAGGGGTGGACTCAGCATACTTTCCCAGGCTGGCTGCTGTCCCAAGGGGGCAGTGACAGGTAGTCCTGATGCTTCAGGGACTTGAAAAACTGAATGGCTGGCACCTGGGGCATGGGCTGGCAGGGAAGCTTTTTGATAGACAGATCCTGGTCTAGGTCCACAGTGTCAGGACACAGGCCTGGAGAAGGTGGTTTGTTATGTTGTGAGGGGGAGCCGGGCCCTAAGCCAGGGAGGAAGCAGTAGTCCCCGACCTGCTGAAGAACAAGGAGGCCTTCAGGGTGAGGGGATGCTGGGGCCACCTCCTCCCTGGGCTCTGCTGGGCTCGCTGCGGGAATGCTTGGCACAGGAGGGACAGAACTGCCCAGAGGGTACTGGGGGGGCTGGCTCATTCTTGGAGGGAGCTCCACATAGTCATCAAACTCTGGTGGTGGAAGAGCTGGGCTTCGAGGAGGGACCCCAGGCAGCTTGAGACAGAGACTGGGGCCCTGAGCTGAGGGGGACCCTAGAGAGGGGATCAGAGAGGTAGAGAGGGGCCCTGTGGGCAGAGTGAGCACCAGATCTGCAGGACTGACATAGCCAGAGGCCGTCACAGGGTCCGCGGGGCCCCCAGAGCTTATGGGCAGAGTCACTGGGTTGTCCTTTGTTTCCTGTTCCTCCAACCTCAGCTCAAGTGAAGGGCTGTCCTTTGGTTCCATGGAAGGGCTCTCTGTGGAACCCAGGCTAGGCTCACACTCCACAGTCACAGCCTGGCCCTGCCCCATGGCCTGGGACAGTGGGACCAGCTGTACTTGTCCCCCAGGAGGCAGGCACAGGTATTCCAGGGAGCCTGGCAGTGCTGGCCTCAGGCTCCCACCAATCTGGGGGGTGACCAATGGGCCTGGGAGATCAGGCAGGGAGTGGGTTTGGAGAGGCCCCAGGTTGGGGCCATCGAAGTCAAAGCTGGGTGTCTGGTTCCCAGGTCTGCCAGAAGGGGTTGGTGGGTCTTGCTGGTCACTGGAAAGCTGAAACATGGGTTCTGATGAGGTGGCTGGAGTTGAATCAGGCCCAGATGGTGGGTCTTGGACAATGTTAGGGTTCTCTATGGTGAGTGGTGACACCTCATTGACCCCCAAATGTGCATATGACATCCTGTGGGGATAATAGAGATGAGAGATGTGGAACCTAGATACTTAATGTATACCCACAGCAGGTGAGGCTCTCCAGAAGGCCTGGACCCCTCTGGACTTCACAGTGAGCACCAAGGCATGGTAGAGACTGGGCCCGGAAAATAACATTGGCATATGTTCCGTGTCCCCAAGGATCATGTACCAGGGCTCAGTTGACATCACCATCCCAGGCTTTTCCCTCATCTTCTGCCCCTTCCAGGCCACTACCTCAGGGCTGGGCTCACGCTTGCCTGGGTACCATCCATGCCTTACATCCTTCTACCCACAGGGCCACTGACTCTCCCTGACAGAGGTTTATCTCTCCCCACACAGGCTGAACTCCTGTAGGTACGGGGTCTCTGCCACCCATGAGGCCAGTGCAGTACCTGGCTTACATAGACAGCCTGGCAGGGAGAGTTTTCCCACTTCAGGATGCTGCCTCTGGACCCTTGTCTGTCTCACTCTAACCTGGGAATCAGGAAGATCTTTCTCAACTCTATCTGGGGTGCTCCTTGCTACAGTGAGTGTCATCTAATACAGACTCTTCAGAGACACACAGGCTACCATGTGGTGCACAATGGAGGTGTTTCCTCCCTCAGCCTCCCAAAGGGTCAGAAACTAACCACTCACCTCTGTAGCTCAGCGACAAGGTTGCTCCGTGGCCCCTGGAGACTAAGGTTCTTAGTGGGAAATCCTGCCATGCTGCTGGAAGACCAGAGTCCTTTACCTCCATCCTAGAAGAGGGAGGGCATTTTTGCTTGTGAATGTGTCACCTCAGGAAGGAGGGGACAGAGAAGGATGGCATGCGTGTATTGAGTCTTTCATAGTGGTCGACATTGGAAGAATATCCCCATGGTGGGGCCCAGCTCAGACCTCTGCCTCCCAAAAAGCAAGAGGCACTCAAGGAGTTATGACTTCCATCAGATCTCAAGCTCCAGAAGTGAACATCCCACACTGTTCACCACAGCTTCTTCTCCCATGGCACTGGTGTCCACCCATGACCATTGTCTCACGAGAAGCTGACAACCACGTCCTTCCATCCTTGACACCCCTGAAGGACCTGATCCTCTGAAGGCACCCTGGATGTAGCCGGCTCTCCCAGCAGTTCAGAGATATCTTGTGCAAGGCTCAAGTCCTGTCCTGGAGGCCCTCAGCCCCCTCCCTACTGCAAAGAGCAGCCCACCCCACCCTCAGTCATCTTCTGTAAGGGAACGCCTCAGGTGTGTCTGTGGCTCCAGGCTGTGCTAGGGCAACTTGTGGAACTCATGCTCTTTAGGGTATCCAAGGAGCTCCAGAGACCCACCTCCTGCTAGTCCAGCTTCCCGTGTCTCCCACCCTTCTCCACTGTGACAGCCATGGACAGGGAGACAGCAGCAGGGTCTGCCTTCTTACCTGGAACAGGAGGCTCTTGCTGGGGTTGGGGATTTTCTCCTTCCACTTCCTGTACATCCTGGAAGAAAGCAGGAAGAGGTGTGAATGAGAGGTTCCAGGGACCTCCAGGCCAGCTCCTCCTGTGCCCATGTATACAGGGAAAACTGAAGCCAGGGGATGAGGGCAGGGTAGGAATGCTAGCCTGTTAGGCTGTGTCATCGCTGGACCCTGGAGCCCCGTGTCCACTTGCCTCAGTCCACAGACTGCACTTACCTGTACCCATAGACACAGCCAAAGCGGAGGCCCAGGAGCAAGAAGAGGACGAGGAAGATCAGGCTAAGGACAATCCCCCAGGTGGGCATCACTTGTTCAAGGAGAAAGGAAGGAGGGTTATTTGTGAGGCTCAGGAAGCAGGCTAAGGGAGGAGACTATGGTCCCCCAGGTGCTCTGTGAGGAAGGCCCAGGACCCTGGGAAGAACCCCTGGGTCTGAACCCAGGGCTCAGTGGGGGGAAGTTCTGCCCTAAGCAGCATCAGCAAGTGCCCAGAGGAAATGACTGATTGTAGCAACTGGGGAGACTTCCTGAAGGAGGCAGCATGGAGCATGACCTCCAGGTGCAGGGAGGGTCAGAGGAGATGGAAAGTGGGCCACAGAGGGTCCCTTCTGACAGTACACTGACCTTCTTGACCTGGACCCTCTAGGTCCCCTCTCTATCACCTGAATCCATGGCTCCAGCCCTCCCTCTGCTTGACTGGCTGTCACCCCGAGACTCCCCCTGCCACAAGGCATACTTGTGGATGCTTTATCCCACCTCCCACCTCCCGTGTCCTCTTTCGTCTTCCCTGGATCTTCCCTAGCAGAGTGTGTGTCCTGGAGATCACCATGGCAACAGTGAGTGTTGAACGCATGTGTCAAGGGAAGGGAAATGGTCAGGACCAGTGGATCCCCACACCTGCCATCCCGGGGCACTAACGTGTGTGTAGGTAGTTAGTGTAGCTTTGCAGCCATGGTAACTAGGAACTCGGATTGACCAGTCATGGCTGCCACAAAGTCTAATAAAGCCAAGTGCCCTGTAAATAGAGGCCTAGGCCCCAACTGAAAGAAGGAAGGACAGTAAGACAGATCCTCTCCTCTCCCAAGTCTCCTCTTAGAGTGTATTATTTACCAAGAGCTTTTACCCAGGACCAGACACCCGGAGAGGGAGGCCAGGGTAGAATGGTCTAGAGCGGCCTTGCCCTGTGCAGTGGGGCTGTCCCAGGAGTGTGGTGGTGGCCTGAGAGACATACCCCAGCCAGTGGTCCAGGTTTGCTCTTCGCTCCACTCACTCCAGATCCCATGGTAGTCAGGGAGCGGCTTGACCCTCACCCTGGCCCGGTATGTGGTGGAGGGCTTCAGCTGTGGCAGGGCCATGCTATGGGCATGATCTAGGATCTCTGTCTTGCTGTCCTGCAGAGGCAGATGTGTTGACATTCTAGCTCAGTCCAGGACCCCAGGACAGAGCCTCCTGTGACCCACCGCTGTGGTGGCCCCAGATGCCACCTCTTCCAGCGCCAACAGTGACACCCAGGCTCAAGCCCAGACTCTCTCTACCTCCCAGTTTGTCTGCTGCCTTGGCCTAAATTCTGTCTGATGCAGGAGCGTCATACTGGTTTCCTGGGTCCCAGGCCATGAGATGAGGGATGGATGGTGGTATCAGGGATAACCTGACTCTGCTGCCCCACTCTCAGGCCTCAGTTACCCCATTCCCTCTCTGACGTTAGGATTCTGGCCACATAGTCCTGCTTTGGGACCTGTGGAGTCTCACTCTGCATCGAGGTGCCCGGCCTCTGCATATAGAATGAGTGCTGGACAGGACCTGCCTTGAGCAGCTACACCATTGTCTCAGATCTAGGTCTGGAAGGAAATACACCTTGGCCTGGTTGATTATTGAAACCTTATTCCACGTGTGTACCAAGTCCTGCCCAGCCTCTACCTGTCCAGGTATTGACCAGTCATGTTCATTATTAACCCAATCGCAATGGAATTAAATGCAGAGTGTTAAAGAATTTTCCACACAGGTGCCTCTTCTTCCCCACATTGTCTCTTCCCCTGAAGCTTAAGGGCAGAACTGGTCATCAAGAAAAGAAACTGTCAACTGTTGACCTTGTTAAGTCCTAAGGCACAGAGGCCAGGCTCCTGGAAATAGGACTCCCTTTGGTCTCCTCTCTTTCCTTTCCTCCCAGTCCCTAACTTTCCTCTGGGTACTGGACCTCACCTCCCAGTTGTCCGGGTTATCTGTGTACTGGACCTGGAATTGGTGCTTGATGGGAGAGAACGGCGTTTTCTTGGTTTCCCAACGCAGGTTGTAGCTGTGTCCATCCTTGGTTACGTTGAGGGCTGGAGGGTACATCTGGACTGGAGGGGGGATAATTTCAGGGAATGTCATGGTGTCCTTCCTCCAGCAGAATGCCCCCCATAGGTTCATGTGTTTGAATACTTTGTCCCAATAGGTGAACTTCTTTGGGAAGGATTAGGATGTGTGGTCTTGTTGGATTTGTACTCTGCCTCTGGTTTGTGGTTCAAGATATGGGTATGTGGTTCATACCTTTAGTTCTAGCACTTGGGAGGCAGAGGCAGGCAGATGTCTGTGATGTAGAGGCCAGCCTGGCCTACAGAGTGAGTTCCAGGATAACTAGGGCTCTACAGAGAAAACCTGTACTGAAAAACCAACCAAACAGCCAACCGAATAAAAACAACAAAGATGTGAGCTCTTAGCTGCTGCTCCAGGTTCCTGCCACTGTGCCTGCTCCCCATGCTCTGCATGATGAACTCTGACCCTCTGAAACCATAATCTCAAAGTAAACTCTCTCTTTTGTAAATTACTTTCGTTATGATGTCTTCTCACAACACTAAAAAACGTGACTAAGACTCACACCCAGCATTACCAAATCACAGTGTCCCAGGCTGGTCCCTGGGGCAGCAGCTGAGGTGAGCCTCAGTGGTGAGGTGGCCCATAGCTTGGTGCCTCTGCTAGTGTAGGATACGGGGTGGGGGTGGGGGGGAACAGTAACTCCTCAACTAGGCATATGGACTGTTCCAGGCCTGGGTAATAGGCACACTTTGTGGGAACGTCCTTGCTCTGCTCTCCACTTTCCCCTGTGAAGTGCTCTAACTTCCCCATTTTTCATGGGGAAACTGAGCCACAGAACATATACAGATAACAACTGAGCCGTAGAGAGTTTGTGTCTCCGTGGTCCTGTGTCAGCCACTCTTCTCTGCTGCTTCAGGGACCCTGGGATTTGCCTGAAGCCAGGAGGGGCTAGGAAGTCCTTGCTAGTCTAAAAGCTCCCCACATCCAACCCACACACCAGCTGAACTAGGTCTTGGGATATACTCAGATGACCATCTCCCCACAACGCTGTGCCAAACTTAAAGTCGGAGACCTTTGCTGCCAGCCCTGCCCACTTGACCAGCAGACCTCAGGCTGAGGCATGACCGTGTGCTCAGGCTTTCTCATGTAACCCTGATGTACATTCTGAGAGAGGTGGGCAACAAATGAAGTCACTCAGTCACTCCCAGCTTCTCTCTCCCCATCAAAACAAAAGATTCATAGCTTGATGACCTCAGAGGGCTTGTATGAAAATAATGTGGAGGACTATAACATACAGAAGGGTTCTCCTGAATCAGAGGAGTCCCTTTTCCGGGAGGGAGGGAGGACACCAAGAGAAAATGCTGGATGTGAACTCAGCTTTCAAAGAGATTGGCTGTGGACGGTGGCCCACATTACAGGTTGGATGAAAGCCCCCCTTGTTTCAGGGTCCTTGCCAGGTGCCAGGAAGGTGTGACAGGGATCTGCAAGGAAGCCATCTGCTGGTACACACTCCTTCCCTGGCACAAAAGTAAAACCTAGAGCAGAGCTTGAGAAGTGAAACATGAGTTGGAGGAGGAGTCTGGGAAGCTCAGGGAGAAAGGATGGTTACAGGAGGGGGGTCCAAGGGCGGGACAAGTGTGCACTGAGAGGAAGTGGGAGGGAAGGAGGGAGCAGGTTTCAGGGGTGACTCTTGAGGGGTGACAAGTGTGATCTGCAGCAGAGTGTGAGTTACGAGTGGGCTGTGGGTTCTCTGCTTCCTCTTTCCCTCTCTGTCTGACTCTTTCTGTCTGCCTGTCACTCTCTGACGCTGTCTCTCTGTCTCTGTCTGTCTCTCTGTCTCTGTCTCTGTCTCTGTCTCTGACCCTCTCTCTCTCTCTCTCTCTCTCTTGCACATGGCTACACGTGGATGTGGATACCTATACATACTTATGCAGAAGCCATAGAAAGATGTCTCCTGGCCTTTCTCTGTGACCTTTCCCATAAGACAGGACCTCTCCCTGAACCTGGATCCGGGTTGGGAGTCAGAAATCCCCAACAATCCTCCTGTCTCTTGCCATGTCCATATGAGCACACTCACATTTTTATGTGGGTGCTGGGATTGAACTCAGGTTCTCATGCTTGTTCATCAATCACTCTTACCTACTGGGACACATTCCTAATCCCAGAATAGTCATCTTATCACTGTGAGTCACAGGTCTGCAAAACTTTGACAGTGACAAGACACAAAGATGCCCAAGAGATCCCTGTGTTTACTGGGATGACACAATGGACTCCTATAGTCCCGGGACCGATGCAGAGCAGGGCAAACTCACTGTGGTTAGAGCTCTTGATGTGCTTCCCTTGTTTCCGCGGCTTAACAGAGACCGTGTACTGGCTGTGTGCCCTGGGGCTGGACATGTTCAGGCGGCAGTGGTACCGGGTGCGGAGGCTGTCCTGTAACTCCTTCACCACGGGCCAGCACTCCTCCTCCCTGGGGAAGTACAGTGGAGCTGAGAGCAGAGGCAGGGGAGGGTCAGATCAGGCTAAGACCTCAGAGAGGTACAGCCCTGAGGGTGAGGAGAAGCAGGGCAGAATGGAGAGGGGACACTCACGGAGCCGCCGGGCTGGAGCTGTAGAAGAGCCCAAAGGAAACAGAGCCAGTCATCTGGGTCCACACCTCCCAGGAGCAGCTGAGGGACTGGATGCCATCAAAGAAGCACAGCAGGTTCTGAGGCTGGGCCTTGTCCCCTGTGGGGAATCCATCGCCCTCAGTCACTGACCCTCAGTCACTCCCTAGGTTGGGACACTAAGTGACTCACAGGGAGGATGGCCTTTGGAGCAGCAGATCCTGGCTGTGGACATCAGCCCAGCTCTGCTTTGAGCCTGCCCGCTGTGTGCCCCCAGCTTGGGAAGACCCGGGTACCTGTGCCCCATCTTGGGAGAGGCGCCCCGGTCTAAGTGTTGAGTGTTGGGGTGAACACAGGGACGTAGGTGACCCTATACCCAGCCCTTGATAACACACAGGGCTTATGCTGCTGCTGCTGCTGTCATGACTGTCACTGGCATGAACAGAACACATGTGTGGCCATAGATCTCACAGTGTGTGAGACCGAGTGGCCCGGGTAGGGACACTGGGGACCCAGGGCTGGTGGGAGGTGCTGATGACCAGGTAGGACATTGCTGGAGCCTCAGGTCTAGACTAAGTCTCCACTGTCTGGAGTCTGAAGAGGAGCACTTCCTACAGGCCCCATTACCTGGCTGGGAGTCCCATTGCACCTCAGGGCTCCATGTGCTGGGCCTTCCAGACAAGCTTGAGCCTGGGGACAGCCGAGTGCGCACCCGGGCCACATAGATGTTATTGGGTAGGAGCAGCTTTGGCTCCAGAGAGACCCACATGTCGCTGGTGTGGAGGCTGGGGGCATCCTGTGGAGACATGTGAGCTGAAGGAGCAACCTGCTAGGCCATTCCACCAGGCTGGGCACAGATGGCTGAGGGTCCTACCTCCCAGGAGTCCTGAAGCCTCTTGTAAGTCACCTCAAACTGGATGTCCTCTTGTGACAGCCAGGGGACCTGGGCATCCCCAAGTGATATACTCCACTTCAACAGGAAGTGATCCCCAGAGGGGCTGATGTGGAGGTCCTTGGGAGGCGGGGGCTGCACTGCAGGGGAGGAAGCAGAGGGTTTGTGAGAGTTGCATGCTGGGAGAGCTGAGGGCAGCTTGCCCTTTGGGTGCCACTTGGGCCCAGGTTCAGTGCTGCCCCCATCAGCTGATGATCATGACAAAGACCCTCAGGACCCTTCCTCTGGCTTCAGGCCTGGAACTGAAAACCTGGGGACCAGGTTTGACAGCAATCCTGCCTTGCATGGCCTGAATTTCAAGGAAATGGGGCCTCCTCCTGCTGGGCTGGGCACTGGGGCCTTCCTTCCAGCAGAGGGCGCTGTGAGCCTCCCCTGCTCCCTCTCCTGCCACCCACCCTCTTCACAGCCCAGGTACCTACTGTTGTCATTGTTCAGTGTGTCCTCTCCCCTGGTGACATCTGGGACTCCTGTCCCCAGACAGAACTCCTTGTCCTTCTTCTTGTCTCCCCACAGATCATTGTAACCCCTGTCCCTGCCTGTCCCACCAGGGTAAGTTTACCTCATTCCTGCCCCCTTCCCTGTATCAAGGCTTGAGATGCAGCTGCCTGTATCTCATGCTCTCCCTGCCATTGTCCAGACTTTTCACCTTGAGGTTTCTTGGATCCAATGGACGTGGCCAGGTTTTCCAGCATGTCACACTCTCTCCAGACCTGCCCCGCTAATCAGCCTTTGCACATGTGGTTTCCAGGCCTAGAATTGCTTTGGACTCTGTGCTCTGCCCAAACCAAGGACTCAGCCACAAAGCTCCTCTGCTACTGCTGGGAAGCCCTTCCTGGCCTTCCATCCCCTGCATGTGGCAGCTGGCTCCTGTGTGTCTCCTAACTCTTTGCCTAAAGCCTGATCCCCCAGGAGGAGGGGCTCTCTCAGACCCCGCAGGCACTCATATTACAACACCACTCAAGCTCGCACTGTTGAAGGGCAAACAGGATCCAAGGTGCCCGGCTAAGAGGCTGACACATGCTTAGAGTTCAATGCAAACCTCACTTTCTCCTTTTGTCTGAAATGCTGGTGACGTTTCTTCTACAGTCCTCAAACAAACCTCCCGGATAATCATTGGGTCTCCTAAGACCATGTTGTAGCAATAGGTACTGGGGACTACTGCTCACCCTTGGGGACAGAGAGCGTGGTGTGAAGCCTGGCTCTAGGTCAGAAGCATGGAAGGGCATGGCAATGTGACCTATCATGGTTTTTGGTTTTCTGTGGGTCTTGGGGCCTCAGCTATAGGGGAAGGTGTTACAGCAAAACAACAAAGACCAGCTTTCTGTCACTTGCAAAGTCCTACAGAGTCACAGGCATGGCTACTCCTAGAGGACAGCTTGGGGACTTGGTAGTTGGCAGAAGCAGGTGGGACAGGGGGACCCTCAGGCAGAGGCCTCATATCACATCTGTTCTAACCCCAGGGCATGGTCCCTAAACCCCGGAGACACTCACTCTAGCCCACCTCTGGTAGCCTACCCACTCTTGTACCCACTGCCCAGGCAGGACCCACGCTCCTCACCATGCTGGGCCAGTGGAACCACGAGCTGGATGCCCACATCCCGATCGGGCTGGAATGAGTAGTAGTCTTCATCAGCGCCCATGAAATGTGTGTAGGGGATGACACATCTTCGGGGCACACAATGGTGGGGGGACGGGCATTCTGACCATGGTAGGTCTTCACTGAGTTCACAGGACACTGGATAGTTCCTGCCAGTGAACATTCATTAGCTCCTACTACATACCTGATTTTATACAGGGTCAATGTCTGGCAGTGAACAACACACACACATACAAACACACACACACACACACACACACACACACACACAGACATACAAATATGCACAGAAACACACACATGTACACACAGAAATAGATACACAAATACACACAGAGACACAAACACATATATATACAAACACATAGACAGACATACACACATGCACAGAAACACACACATGCACACACAAACAAATACAGAGACACAGAGAGACATACACATACACACATGCACAAAGAGACACACATACACAACACAGAAACACACACACACACACACACAGAGACATACCCATAGACACACATACTCAAATACCAGTGAGCACCCTGATGGGAACAGCTACACATTAAACCACCAAGTAACATATGTGTTATGAGAAAATGTTGAATATGATAAAAAAAAAAAAAGGCCAGGTTGAGGAGCCTATTTTGGCTGTGAGAACAGTTGAAGCCACTGCATGTGTTATATGGACAGAATCCCTAGTGACTTGGGGGAAAGCAGGCAGGTTCTGCAGGGGGCTGACTTCAGCAAGTGCAAAGTTCCTGGGGCTACCACCAGGCCTGTAACCAAAATTCACAGAGAGGAATGTGCGTGCAGTCTAGGGTCCAGTTAATGATCTGGCTCAGGCAATGCTCACTAAAACCTGAGTGCAACTCAGGGGGAGCATGAAAAGCCCCCAGTTTCAAAAGCTTTTAGTTGACTTTGAAAATGGCTATTTGGGGCCCTCACAGGGCAGAACAGTTTGTTATTCTTGGTCTACCATGAGCTTTACTCTAGACAGGACCTCCGACCAAGGCCATAGAAACAGGTCAAGATCATTCTCTAGCTGAAGTTCTTCTGCTCTCTTCCCTTTCTGTATCTTCAACTGCAAGGTTAACAATCCCTGAGAAAATAAACTAAAGAGACAAGCTCATAAAACCCAGGAGAAAATGTGTGGATTAGTAGCAAGACATCTAGCAGAGTCGCTGTATCTAGGGTAAACAATCAACTGAAGGATTTGTTTTCTAGAAGTCTGTAGACCTTGAAGAAGAGGAGAACAGTGATGCTTTTCTGTTGTGTAGAGAGCTGTTTTTCTGAAGGAGCTTTACAGCCTTCGCGTGACTTCAGTCACAAGACTGTCCCGGCACACCTAGGACATCTTGCATTATTGAGTACTGCAAAAAGTGCACATTAGGACTAAAACTGCAGGGGAGTGATGTTTTCCTTCATGAAACATAGATAAGATTGGGGCTTTGGTATGAGGGCTTGTTTTAACCATAAATAACGTTTGTGTAACAATCAATAAATATGTTTTTGCACTGCTGTTAGGGGTTCAGACCTTCAGAGAATGTTCCTCCCTGCTGCCTCAGAGTCTGATTACAAAAACAAAAACAAACCAGCACAAAACCCAACAACATTACAGATTAATAATATCTCTCTAGATGTGCAGTGCCCAGGACATCCATGACCCAATGACCTTCATATAATCGCAGCATGTGTGTGTCTGAAACCCCGATCACACTGAATCTCAGGACCACTTGGTAACTGCCTGAAAGCCCACCTGAGACCAAAGGGACCCTCTCCCCAAGTCCCTCCAGAAGTCCTACACTCTGACATCAACCCACAGTGGTCTCTGCCAACTCCCTCCCTGGAATCTTGTTTAGTGTTTACACTTGGCAATCAGTCTTTCCTTGGCCCTAACAACTTGTCCCTGAGTATTGGCTTTCCTGCTGCAAGCAAAACAGTCCTGAGTCCTGTCACAAGGAATGGAGCTTTCATTGTGTGTGTGTTAATAACAAGCATGTCAGGACATAAGTGAAGGAAATGGGGGACTTGTTGTGAAGCAGAAATCAAAGGATTTCACTGAGTAAGGGGCTGAAGAAAGACATAGGGTGATGGATTGGGGAGATGGTGCCATCCTTGTGATTGTATGTAGTTTGGATGGTGATGGTGTCTGAGTTGCTCAGACTGCATCTCACTGGGAGACTAACTTAGTAGTGTTCACTGAGAGGCAGGAAGCAAGGTAGAAGCCATTTTCAACCAGACCTCCCAGTCATTAGTCAAGCTACCATCCTTCCCAGTTAGCAAAGTGAGGCGTGGAGTCGGAGTCAAGGGCAGAATTTGGCTTATGGTGTTGGACTAGAAATGGTGATCCTCATCTGAGCGTCTCTGCTCATGGCCCATGGTGGGCTCTCCAAAGACTGAAGATAGATAGGAAGCCAGGGTCATATTTAGAGATCTCACACTCTACAGTGGACAGAGGAGTAAAGTGAAGCAAAGACCAGAAGGAGGTGTCAGAGACACCAAAAGGACCTTGGTGAGTGTGGCGGCTGGGAGTCAAGTAAGGTGAACTACAAGGAGGTCATCCTGGGTGGGTTGGTAGATGAGGGCCCAGGCTGGGCCATTTGACTTGGGGTATTTCTGAGTGACAGGTGCAGTTTGGTTCCCTTGGAGATAGCCAAATCCTGGGGGAGCGCATCCAGGAAAGAAATACTGGGAAGACGTGAGGGAGTGTGGGCTCCTGAGAGGAGGCTGTGGTAAGGAGCAGAGGAGAGAGGGACAGGATGCTCAGGGCAGGAGACTGCTGCGGCCACTGCAGGGGTTGGGTGGCAGTGCAGCACAGATGCAAGGTGACCTGGGATGGTGGCTGCACATCATTGGTGCTGCCGGGGTGGAGGGGGTTGGTTTAGCATGGTCCTTGTGCTGTAATACCAGTACACTCAGTGGTACTCACTTTTCCAGCTTGCGATAGAGGGTCACGTTCATGAGGCCCTGGGCATCCTCCGTGTCGGCCCAGCTGCAGATGATGCGGCTGGTGTAGTCATTGTAGCACTGCAGAGTCTGCAGAGGGACGGTCTCTGAGGAGGGAAGCAGGACAGTCACCACCTCCCGCCAGGTGCCCGTCCCCTGGTTTTGTTGGTTCATTTTTGTCTTTGTTTTTTTGAGACAGGGTCTTACTGTGTAACCCTGACTGTACTGAAACTTGCTATATAGACCAGGCTGTCCTGGAACTCACAGAGATCCCCCTTCTTGTGTCTCCTGAGTACTGCAATTAAAGCCATGCACCATGATGCCTGGGTTCCCACAACTCTTTTAAGCACCAGCATCTCCAACTTCCTGCTGAGGCCCACCCTGGTGACCCGATAGATGGAGGGCCCTGAGCCTAGTGGGGCTGTGTTGGGGACTCTCCTCTTTTGCAAAGAACATGAGGGTCCAGTGGATTCTCAGCTGTGACTGCACAGGCCCTCACTGGGGCATTGCTCAGGCCTGCCCTGTTCTCTGAGGTGTCACTTGGAAGAACAGACACAGCGGCCTTGAGATGTAGGAGCCTCTCCCTGTCCAGGGTCCCGATCTGCTGAGTTTGTTCTCTGAACCTGGGCTTGGGAAAGGGAATGTGGCTCCCACACTGCCATGGAGGACTTCTAAGTGGCACTGAGGACAGTTCTCCACCCTCAGGAGCCTCTAAAGTATCCCACAGGGCCTCTGAGGAGAGGAGAGGGCTAGAGATATCGTGGGGAGAGGGCTTTAGGTCAGAGTCACCAAAAACAAGGGTTAGGGGATCCTGGAGCCCTCAGAGGAGTAGAGTGTCTGGGGGAGGGGCAGAGAAGATGCTGGCTCATTGGAGGTCGGGACTTTGGAGGCTAGACTGAACCATATGTGTTCAGAGGAACACCATTGGGCTGGATGCTCCAGGGCCAGGCAAGGATGAGCAGGAAGCTGGAGAACAGGGAAGAGAAGGACCCAGGGGAGTCCTGAGGGAGGAATAGGAGGATACAGGAGACAAAGGAAGACAGAGATGGGTACAGTGGCTGGAGCTGCTGGGGGTCTGGGAGCTTGCGGTGATATGGTGGGCATGGCTCCTCCCAGACTCAGCTAAAAAGAGGGATGGAAAGGGAAGGGGCCTCCAGACTTACCTTGTGCCTCTGTCATACCATGTCCCCAGCAGAGAGCCAGCAGGGTCATGTAGAGCAGCCCCCAGGTCAGTGCCATCTGCTGGTCCATTCTGGGACTTTAGGTGGCTGCACAGTGGTCTGTAGCTATGGGCAGGGTGGTGTCCTCATAGTCCTGGGGTGCTGTGTCGCTGCCTGGCTGGGGGTTGGGCCACATTTGTGTTACAGGTCTTATGATTCTTTACTCACAGACTGCATCCTCTGAGACTGCAGAAGGGTGTGTAGGCTGAGAACTGCCCAGGACACTGCTGGTGCCAATGGCCAGAACCCAAACAATGGTCCTGATGTGTGGTGCCCGGGACTATTCCCTTCCTTAAGCCTCATTGGCCTAGAGCATGACCATGGAAAAGGTGGGACTGTTGGCCTCAGAGGCAGCATGCCCCTCAGACCATGGGGCATCACCCTGAGATGGAAATGAGGCTGCTGCTTCACATGAACCAGGCCCACAGAGGAGCTGAGAACCACACCTTTGATGGAGCCAGGTCTGATGGCTGTCTTGTCTCTGTCTCTGCACACACACACACACACACACACACACACACACACACACACACACTTGCCTGTTCTCTAGCACAGGCACAGCCTGGTGCTCCCCCCGCCTCTGCTCCATTTACCATCAGTACTCCCTCAGGCCCCTCTGCTTCCCAGTTCCCCTTTCTCTGAAGTCTGGGGATTTCCTCCTTTTCATTAGGTTCACATGGGAAGTACCAGTGGAGCAGAGCAGTTGCTGTGGCCCCTTCTCCTACAAGGCCACTGGAAACTTTAGTCAAGGTACACAGAGCACTCACACCTGTCTGTCCATCTACCACCTGTCTATCAATGCATCTCTCTACCTTTGCATCTATAAATTATCCATCTATCTACCCATCCTCCCATCTATGTATGTACACACCTGTCCATTTTTCTTTCCATCCATGAATATGTAAAAATGTATCTGTGTCTGTCTACACATTCATGTATTATCTATCTGTCTATTTATAGATCTATCTATCTATCCATGTATCATCTATTTATTTCTATCATCTGCTGTGGGATGTCTTTTCTGTATGCTGTGAAGATGTGTTGCTCCCATTGGCTAATAAATAAAGCTGTTTTGGCCTATGGCAAGGCAACTTAGAGGCAGGTGGGAAATCCAAGTAGAGAGACAGAGAGAAGAAACGGGAGGAGGGAGAGATGCCTAGCCACCGCCCAAGGAGCATCAAGGTGCCAGCAGACGAGTAACACCACATGGCCACATGGCAAAACATAGATTAACAGAAATCGGTTAGTTTAAGATGAAAGTGCTTGCTAGCAAGAAACCTGCCATAGGCCATATAGTTTGTAAATAATATTAAGCCTCTAAGTGATTATTTTATAAGTGGCTGCAGGACCAGGGGGTCGGTTAGGACTGCAGGGCCAGGCATGACTGGAGAAACGTACCACTACATTTGGTGCCAAATGTGGGGCTCTAGAATTTCTATAAAGCCTAAAAGAGTTTAAAAAGGGCTTCTAAACACACAATAACAGAGCCCCAAAGAGCTTCCAACTTGTGTCTCTCATGCGGGCCATGGTACAGATGAAAAAGGTTTATGGGCCAGCTACATGCTACCTGGTGGCAGCATGGACCCCAGAGTTGGCAGGGTAAATGTGACTCTCCTGGGTGCCTCCATCATGTTGGGAAGCTGAAGTGGGCAGAGTCAGCAGCCAGGCTGTGGCTTCAATCTTAGCCACACTGCAGTTTGCAATGATCAGTAAAGGATTATAAATACACAGAAGACAGATTCAGAAGGAATAAACCTCTAAATGGTTTACATTAAATGTAAAAATGTACTTGGGCTTGAAAGAGAGAGGAAAAGGAGACTAGACAGTTATATAAAGAAATAGTTTTAAAAAAATAAGTCTTTAAAGAGACAATAAAAGTAATATAATAAGCCACATAAAGATGGAAATCACATAGAGAGTCTAGATTATATTGTCTTTGGGATTTTTAGCTGCAGAAAGACATTTGATTGTAAAGGCTGCTGAGTTAAACATATATATATGTTTTTTTCGAGACAAGGTTTCTCTGTGTAGCTTTGCTCCTTTCCTGGAACTCACTCTGTAGTCCAGGCTGTCCTTGAACTCACAGAGATCCACCTGCCTCTGCCTCCCAAGTGCTGGGATTAAAGGCATGGGCCACCACCACCCAGCCCTATATATATATATTTTAAAGGTAGCTTGACTTCAAAACTTGTGTCTAAGGATTCGTTGATTTGGAAAAGATGTTCTGCATTTGTTTCCACAGAAGATGAGAACCTGTGAATTTCTTCCAGGCTAATATGGTTTGACTAGCCAAGACCTCCTGAAAGGTCTCTGATGACACCACGGCCCAGATGATCCAACATCCAAAATCAGCTTCAAAGCAACTGGCTGAGACAATCCATCCTCACAGACTACTAAAGCCAAGATTTAACTGTAATTCCTAATTTTCTCAGGATCTCTGTAAGATTACCAGCATCCCCAATCATCAGGAAGCAGTTAAAAAAAAAAAAAGCTATGCCTAAATTCCCCAAATATTGTTTATAAATGTTTATTTTTATTTAAAGGGGGTTGATTATAAATGCAATCTCTTTCTAAAGAAGGAAAGGGGCTATTATAAATATGATAGGATGAAAGGGTAGATTATTAAATCTGCTTTTAAAGAGCAACAATTTGTTTAAAATGTTTTACATTGCTGTAGATTTTAGTTAATTACAAATTTAATTTTGTTATACTGTATATATATTTCTACTCTTGTTTAGAGTATGTTTATGCAGCTCATTTAAAATTATAATATATAATTAAGAAATACAGATTAGCTAGGTGTCATTGGTGCATGCCTTTAATCCCAGCACTTGAGAGGCAGAGCTAGGTAGATCTCTGTGAGTTCGAGGCCAGCCTGGTCTACAGAGCGAGATCCAGGACAGACACCAAAACTATACAGAGAAACCCTGTCTTGAAAAAAAAAGAAGAAAGAAAGAAGGAAAGAAAGAAAGAAAGGAAGGAAGGAAGGAAGGAAGGAAGGAAGGAAGGAAGGAAAGAAGGAAGGAAGGAAGGAAGGAAGGAAGGAAGGAAGGAAGGAAAGAAAGAAAGAAAGAAAGAAAGAAAGAAAGAAAGAAAGAAAGAAAGAAAGAAAGATTAATAGTCGTCTAGGATAATAAAACTTATTATTATTGTCATGTTAGTTAAGTTTTTTAGGTTTTAGTTTTTTCAATTAGGTAGGTAGTCTTCAAACACTTCAAAAATTTATAGAATATGACATTTAAAATGTTTTAAAACTTAGACTTTCTGGACAGTGAGACACGTCTGCTCCTGGCAGCACCAATTTATTTCAAAGAGGAAGATGGGCATCGAAGACACTTATTTTCTTTCTTGGCACAAAATTGCCTGCTGGGCAAAGAACCACTCTGTCTGGTATGTTATATAGACTGGACATGCAGGACCCAAGAAAAAATGACCACTAAATTTTGCCAAAACAAGGCAAGATGATCCTTCAGGTTGCTGCTTTGCAGAGGAGACTGCCAGATATTCTGCAGGACACAGGGAGAAGTGACTAAAAACTATAGACCTATAGGCTGAAGATGGATGCCCCAATGTTACAGAGGAACTTTGGAAGACTGTTCAGGCAGCCAGCTGTCTCTGTCATTCTAGAATTTCAGAAGTTGTAAACAGTGCATTTCCTATTTACTTAGGTAATATTATATCCTTCTAGGGTCTTTGATGTAGTTGAAGACTAAATAGTTATAATTATAATTTTCCTTGGTTATGATAAAAGATAAGTAAGATATGAAACCTTAGACTCACAAATATAGGATGGTAAAATATTTTCTTTAATTTTGCCAAATACAAATTGACTACATATTGTAACAATAATTCCTGCTTGATGACTGGTCTATTATATGTAATTTTGCAATGTTAAAATTAAAACAATCCATTTTCATTAGATAGAAAAGGGGGAGTGATATGGGACGCCTTTCTGTGTGCTGTGAATATATGTTGCTCCCATTGGCTAATAAATAAAGCTGTTTTGGCCCATGACTAGGCGGCTTAGAGGCAGGCAGGAAATCCAAACTGAGATAAAGAGAGAAGAAAGGAGAGTAGAAAGAAACACCTAGCTGCCGCCTAAGGAGGAGCAAGATGCAAGCAGATGAGTAATGCCATGGCCATGTAGCAAAAACACAATCATCTATCTATCTATCTATCTATCTATCTATCTATCTATCTATCTATCTATCTATCTATCTACCAATCTATGTATTCATATCTCTACCTCTATCTCTATCTATCTATCAATTTATCTATATATCTGTCTATATCGATCTATCTGTCTATCTATCTTACCATATCTCATCTATCTTGCCTGTCTCTTACCTAGCAATCATCTACCTATCTAGTCAGTGGACACTTGGACTGGAACACGTGTTATTTTACCCCAGAATGCTCTACATAAATGGAAGGGGAATCAGTAAACAATGTAAAATGATGGAATATTCCATTTGAAAATGATAAGATGACTGACACATAATAACGGCACACACACAAATCCCAACCCTCTATCCCACACCACTCCCCAATCATGAGGCTAATTAAGAAGTTACAGACTAAGGATGCAGTCACATCAAACCGTTGACGCCTGCACCCTTGAGCTGTCTAAGCTTAAAGGAATCAAAGGATTCTGAGGCAAAGAGTGATGGAAGTGTTTGGAAACCCAACCCCCTACCTTTTTAAAGTCAGCAGAGTCACCGAGCAAAGGACAAAATGGTAAAAACAAAAACAAAACCTACAAAGATACCCCAATGTCTTAATCTGGGGGGATTGCTGTCACAGAACACCACTGGTGGGGCAGTTCATAAAAACCACAGACATTTATTTCTTGAAGTTCTGGAAAGTGGCGAGGCCAAGGGCAAGGCACACGCAGGTTTGAGGTCTGATGAGGCCTCTTCCTCAAGGGCTTCTCACTGCTACCGCCATAGTGGAAACAGCAAGGGAGTTTTCTGGGATGTGTAATATAAGGGCACTGATCCCCTCAAAGGGCTCTGATCCTGAGATCCCTTCACTCTCCAAAAGCCCCATCTCTGGCATTCTCTCATTGGGGATGTGGTTTCAACTTAAGAGTTTTGGGGGACATGGGTACTCAGTCCC